GATTTGATTTTGTTTTTTTTTTGAAGCGAACCCGAGCGAAGCGAGGGTGTGCCGCTAGTAATATAATATGCGAAAGTTTGGATATATGGATGTTTGTTACTTAATCATGCTAGAACAACTGAACGGTTCTGGATGACATTTTGTACAGAGATAGATAATGGTCTGAAATAGAACATAGGTTATTTTTTATTCGGGAAAAATGTACGGTTCTCGTGGGATATCCATATAAACCATCAAAACGTACCTAGTTTTTTTAACATCGCTAGTTTTTTTATAAATGGTAAATCAAATTCGTTTAGTTTATTAGATAATTGTCAAAACCCAACATAATAATAATAATATTCTCCTGGCCGATTCCGGCCACGGCGGCCAGTCTCATTGAGACTAGCCAACTGCGCAGGAGATATTATAGTGCACAAGTGTACGCGCAGACACAACGCGCACTCTCTATTTCTGTCACTCTCATACTCCGGTGGGACGACTGTTCGACACGACCAGTGAGAGTTAAGGCGCAGGACCGACGGCTTTAAGTGCTCTCCGAGGCACGGGGTTTGTAACACCGGCAACTTCCCAACTCCGGGATGTTTCTGAGGCTAACTATACAGAAAGACTCAATAACTAAACTTGGCCAGATCCGGGACTCGAACCCAGGGCCTCCGGGTGTGCAGCCGTACATGCTAGCCACTACACCACCGAGGCAGTTAAAACCTAACATATATAATAATATACGTATGCACTTTCATAAACATATTTAGTGTCTTAACATTGGCAACGTATGAAGAACAAAGACGTATATTCTTATAAAATTTTGAACAAACTTTATGTTCTGTGCAAATCTTATCTTTCATCATAATTGTTCTTAAACGATTTTAATTTTCGCAATTATACTATCAGTTTACTTTTCAATAGCCTTCTATGTTGCGGATGTCCGGATATTGTCAAGGTTCAAGTTAGATTTATGTACAATAAAATAACAAATTATTAAAAAAATCATCTGTCTCAAACATACTATATTAGCATTTATATAAAAAAATAACTAAAAAATTATAATGCATATATGTATGTATGTATACATATGTATATCAATTATATTTATCTATACTAATATTATAAAGAGGTAAAGTTTGTGAGTGTGTGACGTTGTAGGGGGTAATCTCTGGATCTACTGAAGCAATTTAGATGAAGTTTGGTAAAAAGATAGTTTGAGATCCTGGGAAGGACATAGGATACTTTTTATCCCGAAAATCATCCCTTACGAGGGTGAAAATTGGGATGAAAGTTTGTATGGGGAATCAACCTATATAGGGAATAAATCTTGTAATATAAAGAATTGTTGTGTAAGTAAATAAATATGTTAGTACATGAAACACACAGCACCATCCAGTTCCATGGTAAGCTACGAGGTTTGTGTTATGGATACCAGATAGTTGATACACTACACAAATATAACTTTACATACATAAATATTGACTGGAGTGCAAACATTCGTGTTCATCACACAAATGAATGCCCCCAGCGGGACTCGAAACGGCGACTGCTGGCACAGCAATTAGGGTAGGGTATTACGAACTGAGCCAAACGTGTCGTCAAATATACATATACGTACTATTCCCTGTATATATCCTTCCTGTATATATGTACTATTCCCTGTATCTCAGAAACGGCTCTAACGATTTGGATCAAATTTTGTATTTAGATTACAATTTTCATATCTTTTTCGAAAAATAAACGCCGAAAGAAGCTGTCTCGTTGGCCAAGTTACTAGGCTCTAGTCATTAGTGCATCACTTATGGCTACGGTTCCGTAGGTCTAAGGTTCGATTCCCGGATTGTTTGTCACGAAATTCTCAGTAACATCCCGGAGTTGGGAAATTTAAGACAGACAGACATGTACTGAACCGATTTAGATGAAATTTGGTAAAAAGATAGTTCAAGACCCTGGGAAGGACATAGGATACTTTTTATCCCGGAAATCATCTCTTAAGGGGGATGAAAGTTTGTATTGGGAAGCAAGCTAGAGACGAACCCGAGCGAAGCGAGGGTGAGTCGTCAGTACAATCAATACATCGGAAAAATATTAATCTGTAAAAGCTATTAGTTTTCTTAAAAATCATGTCAGCGGTTAAACCATGGCATTGTAACATACAGATGAAAACACAAACATTTATAATTTTAAGTTGCTTGTAAGAATTATTTAGATAATTTTAATTTTAAAACTCAGTGAGGTCAATCTTGTATATAAAATACCGTTATAAAACAAAAAAATCGAGTACAGAAATTGAAAAAATAACAAGGTACTAACATTTTGTTGGACCAAGGTTCTTCCTTTAAAGAAAACGTGATTGTCTTATTAACTATTAATATTTTTTGTCAAAAGATTACATTTACGATGACTATTTAGATAATGTTCAAACGTAGTTTTTTAATATTCAGTTAACAAATTTTATATATTTTTACCCGACTGCGCAAAGCAAAGGAGGTTAATGTGTTTATTGGTCTATGTATGTATGTTTTTCCTAGGTTGCAAGCACTCTAAAGAACAAACGCGTGGGCCGACTTTGGTGATTTAGTCGTTAGATTCGTCTCCTTAACGTAAGTGTCATAGGCTATAAAAAATAGTTAAAATTAAAATGGCGAATGTCAGGCGCCAATTTGTGTCTGTTAAAAAAAATTCCATACTAATCGAGTGAGGTATCAAAATAAAGGTTCTAAGATGCGATCACAAAAATATATACAATTTATATGTTTAAAACCAATTTAGGATAAAAATTGCTAAATATAACTTCAATCTGATTGGCAAAAACTAAAAAGCTATAAATAAAAAAAATATATTATAAAAATAAAAAACCCGACTGCATAAAGGCTAACTAAAAAGATGAAAACGAGTTCACGAAGGAATATAGTATTATGTATATATTATGTACATCTCGCGGCAAGAATGAAACGTGTTATATACATGAAACTGATAATCTATACATATAATAAAATTGTAACTGAGTCGAATCTGTTGAATATTTTTTGGAAAATCTTATTTATTCTCATTATTATCGTTAAAGAGGCTGAATCTATAGTTTTTAGAATTTTTGTCTGCCTGTCTGTCTGTTCCGCATCACGAGAAAACCACTGGACAGATTTTGATGGAATTTGGTATGATGATAGCTGATTATCCGGGTCAACATATAGGATACTTTTTACCGCGGGAAGATATCTCATTTCTGAGAAAAATATAAAAACTGCATTGTAAGAGTATACTGATATGTAAAACCTAAGCTAACCTATTTTGGATTTTGGTCATCCAAACGCGGGCAGAGCCGCAGGCAATACTAGTCTATACATATAATAAAATTGTAACGAAGCCGAATCTGTACATTAAATATTTTTTGGAAAATCTTATTAAAATAGACATTATTATCGATACAGAGGCCGAATCTATAGTTTTTAGAATTTTTGTCTGTCGCCTTTGTGTCTGTCTGTGATCACATCACGAGAAAACTACTGGACACAATAATACTTTCTTAGATTTACGCGAATATTTGACATTTTGGGAAAGACGTCTACCACGTGACCGTGATTGCTGTAAAGCATTCAAAACGTCGGGAACTAAAAACCAAAATAAATCCACGAAACAATCCGAAAAGATAGTTTTATTTAAAACCACTGGATAGATTTTGATGAAATTTGGTATGATGATAGCTGGCTATCCGAGTCAACATATAGGATACTTTTTACTGCAGAAAAATATCTCACCTCTGAGAAATCTATACTAAACATTAAATCGTTTATTATAAGTATAATTATTAAATTTTGCACAATAGGAAGTAAAGGTTTTTTCTATAGCTATGGAAAAAAAGTAAGTTCTTACTGAAAAGTCACTCGAGTGGTACATTTTTTCTCAGTTTATAGTTCGGAGATCTTCAAATGGCGATGGGTGGGGTATTATTATGACGACACGTTTGGCTCAGTTTGTAGTGACCCTACTTGCTGCGCCAGCGGTCGCTGGTTCAAGTACCGCTGGGGGCATTCATTTGTGCGATGAGCACGAATGTTTGTACTCCAGTCATGGATGTTTATATTTATAATATGTATGTATTTAAAGTTATATATGTGTAGTGTATCAACTATCTGGTATCCATAACACAAGCCTCGTAGCTTACCATGGAACTAGATGGCGTTGTGTGTTAATGTCCTGACATATTTATTTATTTATTTATTTTATTATGTATATCCGTTAAGCTTGGTTTGATAGTGGAGTCTCTTTGAAACGGTGATTTAATAATTGAGGGCGAACTGATGCAAACCCGTTTTTATTGCTATCTTCACGCTATCCTGTAGGGATCATAATTTACTATTTATTGCAACACAAGGGCAGATATTCTTAATTATATTATATTTGTAGCATCCATATCTATACTTACCAATATTATAAATGTGAAAGTGTATTTGTTTGTTTGTTTGTTTGTTTGTTTGTTTGTTTGTTTGTTTGTTTGTCCTTCTTTCACGGCGAAACAGAGTGACGTATTGGCGCGATTTTTTGTGTGAAGATAGTTACGAGTGGAGCTACTGTGTGTTCCCTCTTCCTCTCTCTCTCTCTCTCTCTATGTTCCATAAGTTAGTTAAGTCTTCAGATATATTTAAACACTAGCGACTCACCCTCGCTTCGTTTGGGTCATCCCTAGGTGATTCTATAAATGACGTAACTTTTTATTTATGAACCGATTGAAATAAAGAAAATGCTAAATGATAAGTGAAGCTTACCACAATATACTAGTGAAAACCGCACCCAAATCGGTCAAGCCGTTTCTGAGGTTAACACGCACAAACGCACAGACAAACAGACATAAATTCTAAAAATCATTGTTTTGGGTTCTATTGCGTTAATAAAGAACCCCAATAAAAGATTTTCTCAAATATCTTCCATGCATAGACAGCGATCAGTTACAATTTTATTATATGTATGGAATAGATGAGTTTTGTTATAGACATATTTTTTTTTAATTTCAGACGAGCCCTTGCAATACCGCCAAAATCCGACGGTCCATTCGCACACGACAGATGTCACATGTACTCAGCAGATTGGTCCAAAGCCTTGGACCAAGGTCGGACCACACCAGATGATGAATGGACCATCATACCCTGTACCCACGGCTGGGAGTACAATAGAAGTGATGTGCCATATGAAACAATTGCTTCACAAGTACGTTTTTAACAATACTATTTTTCCAAACAATTTTTTACTAGCGACTTAATTTCGTCTCACTCGGGTGCGTCCCTAGATGCCAACATTAGCATAATGTGTTGTAATTTTTGTTTATTTATTAAATACAAGCGACTCACCCTCGCTTTGCCCGGGTTCGCCTCTACCTTACTTCCCCATACAAACTTTCATCCCCATTCTCACCCCTTTAAGAGATGATTTCCGGGATAAAAACTATTTCACTCACTCACTTTTCATATCTAAAATCTTATTTTAGTAAAAAAAAAATATTAATTTTCTTCTATACAAAGCTTGCCCTGATAATAACAAACACAGAAAAAAAAATTATCCAACTCGGTGCCGTCGATCAGAAGTTATGGGTGTACATACATTTCGGTGATTCATTTTTATTTATATAGACTACTAGCAGTACCCGCGGCTTCGCTCGCGCTAAAACTACGAGAAAATCTCTATAAAAGTAGTTTCATACAAACTTTCATCCACTATTTTACCCCCTTATAGTGTTAACATATCTTAATAGTATATTATCCTACTAGCGACTCACTCTCGCTCCGCTCGGGTTCGTCCCTAGGTACGTTTTGACGTATGGTAGTAGGTTTCTCAGAGATGAGATATTTTCCCGGAGTGAAAAGTATCCTATATGTTGACCCGGATAACCAGCTATCATCATGCTAAATTTCATCAAAATCTGTTCAGTGGTTTTCTCGTAATGCTTTTCCAGACAGACAGACAGACAAAAATTCACAAAATTATAGATTCGGCCTCTTTATCGATAATAATAACTATTTCTATAAGATTTTCCAAAAAATATTTTATGTACCACTATCTTATAATGCTGAGATAAATCCCGTAGCAGCCTCCGGCCTATCATCATATGGCAAAAAAAAATATTATAAATATTTATTATTTCACAGCTCGACTGGGTCTGCGATAAAGACAACCTTCCAGCGACTGCGCAAGCTATATTCTTTTGTGGAGCTATAGTTGGTGGATTAATATTTGGGTGGATAGCCGATAAATATGGCAGAATACCAGCATTAGTTGGTAAGATAATTTAAAGTAAAACTATTTTTTTTTGTTTTTTTTTTTTATAATTTACGTATTTTTAGAGTATTGTAGGCAAAATCCCTTTATAATATTGATATGTCCGTCTGTCTGTCTTTCACTCGGAGACTATTTTTGGACTTTCTTGGATTATTGGAGCTTTCTTTTTAGTTTTTGGAAATATCAGAAATTTTCGGACACACGAATGTTGCCGCAAAAATAAATTTGTTTCTCACAGAAATACTGTGGAATACAAATGTATTTTTTTCAGTCGATAAATTGTAAAAAATGTATGATAATAGGTGGGTACTCTGTTACTTGTGTTTTATCATAACAAATTATCTACTACGAGTATATTTAAACGAGCAATTCTTGTATATTTATTTATTTATACCGGTGATCTCGGAAACGGGTCTAGCGATTTTGTATGTGGGGGTTTTCGGGGGCGAAAAATCAATCTAGATTAGTCTTATGTCTGGGAAAACGCGTGTTTCCGAGTTTTCGTGCGGTTTTCTTTCGCATTATTCCACGCAAACGATATAAAATATAAGTACGCTTTTGTTTGTTTTTTTAATATTTATTCAAGATTTTTGTTTTTTTTTAAGAAAATTATACTTTTGGCTAAAAACTCCTAGCGAAGCTCGGTCGCCGAGGTACTGAATATAGAAATATCCTATAGTTAATGCTATGTGCGAGTATTTCATTTGCACTGTCTCTTCGTTATTCTATGTTTTTACTTAATTATCTCTAACCATATTAAATGAGTGCAATAATTCAGATTTCAGAACTTATATTGAGCTTATAGTTATATTGTATACCATAAACTAAACAACGATTAAAAATATCTATCTCTCTATTTAACTCTCTTATCTCCGTAACGGCTGAACCGATTTTAATAAAACTTACTTACTCGTGTTGCTTTCTATCCTGGAAAATAAAATAGTATCCTTAGATAAAGGATAGAAATGGCTTGATTTTCATATATCTATATTAATACTTATGTTTTATGTTTTAAGGTACAAACCTGGTGGGCTTCGCAGCTGGTATTGCGACGGCGTTCTGTAACACTTTTTGGTCATTCGCTCTGTGTCGATTTTTGGTGGGACTTGCGTTTGACAACTGCTTCACGATGATGTATATTTTAGGTGAGAATTCGATCTACTATTATGACTGCGAAAGTATGTGTATGTCGGTTTGTGTTTCTTTGTTACTCTTTCTTTGGCTTTGGCTGAACGAAATTGGATGAAATTTAGTACGTAGAGAGATTATGACATGGAGTTATACATAGGCTTAGTAACAAAGGGTCATGTTAGGGTGTGAAAATATGTATGTATGTACATATTTTGACCAGTGGAAGCCTTTGGTAATGTGCCCGCTTGGAAGACAAGGCGTGATCGACTGATCAGGCCTGAACCCGCTTCGCTTGTGTGTTCCATTTGAAACGACTGGTCAGATTCGATGTGCACGGTAGAGCTACTGGTACTGAGTACGGCGTCCATTATTTCAAATTCTGGTATTTGGATAAGAGAAACAACTTCATAAAATCTAACCAAACACCTTTTTCGCAAAAGCAATAAGTGCAGTTTTACCCAAATTCGATAAAAAAGAGTCTCAACCTGAAAGTCCCGGGACCCGAGACAACTAAAACAATAAGGCCCAGGACATAACGTGTCTCAAAGTCCGGACTCAAACCCTTGTTTTTGACTATATCTAATTGGTAATTAGCAGTATTAGAAAGAAGTGTAATGTTCGCCTGAATTTGGCCAGTATAGTCGACTAAGACCTTCGCATTGAGGCTAAATTATTATTTTATAATATCATTAGTACTTCATCCTGTAGATTAAATAAATTCTTATTATGTTATAAAATAAGTGGTAAATTGTTAAATTATAGGATAGGATTGACGTCGGCATTTCATATTATAATAGATACTTTTTATTCAGCATTTTTTATTTCGACGCAATAATTCAATACTATTTTTATAAGCAAAATTCAAAACATTATTTCGGTCATCAAATCAATCTGCGCAAGAGCTAGTAAACCGTACAAATATGCGTCAATATAAAAGCAAATTTCTTAAGGCATTACAGGAAAAAGATCAGGCACAGGAGAAACTTTACATATTCTTCAAAACGTTAAGGAAAAAATCTAATGGCTTTTTGTGGCCCAACTCAAATTCGAACTTAGGTACCACTTTACGTTACACTTACCAGTCTTTAAGGAAGCCTAAAAAGTGCACATTTTTATATAAAAATATCTATTTAGTCCACATAGTACATTCTTAGAGTTACAAGAATATTTATATTCCCCCTACAACCTTTCATCCCCATTTTCACCTGCTTAAGGGATGATTTCCGGGATAAAAAGTCGTTGTCGTTCCCAGGGTCTCAAACTATCTTCTTTCCAAATTTCATCTAAATCAGTTCAGTAGATCCAGAGATTACCCCCTACAACATCACAAACTTACTACCTCTTTATAATTAGTATAGATAAAACTATTTTTGGAAATATTTCTTTGAAGAAGTTAAAAATCTTAATGTCTCTCATGATCATCTTTACTGTAAAGCATTCCTCCTAAACTCAAAAGTAATTCGAAAAATCGAGAAAGAATCCGAAATAATTGTTTTAGTGGTCATGCTTACATTTTGCTCTATTTATTTCATAGGCACTGCTTCTTTGTGTATTCAGCCCTTTTTAACGTCCCACTGCTGGACACGGGCATCACTTCAATACCAGGGGGATCAGGCCATAGTCCACCACGCTGGCCAAGTGTGGGTTGGCACACTTCACGTGTCTTTCGAAAACTTGTTAGGTTCTCTCAGATATACAGATTTCTTCACGATATTTTCCTTCACCGTAAAACAAGTAATAATCATATTGAAAATGATTCACATATGAAAATATCAAATATAGATATTCAAGACCCAGGACTTGAACTTGCTTCACTTGATTTCCCAAGTAGACTACCTCTGGCTACCACTGTCTCACTTAAATTTGATTTAATAACAAAAAAGTTTAGTGTCTAATATTTATGACTGAACTTATTTTAATATTTACTGCCTCGGTGGTGTAGTGGCTAGCACGTACGGCACACCCGGAGGTCCTGGGCTCGAGTTCTGGGTAAGGCCAAATTTAGTTATTGAGACTTTCTGTTCAGTAAGCCTCAGTAACAGCCCGGAGTTGGAATGTTGGTGGTATTTCACCCCCGTGTCTCGGAGAGCTCGTAAAGCCGTCGGTCTTGTGCCTTGACTCTCACTGGTTGTCTTGAACAGTCGTCCCACTGAAGTATGAGAGTGACAGGAATAGAGAGTGCACGTTGTGTCTGCGCGTACACTTGTGCACTATAATATCTCCTGCAGTTGACTAGTCTCAATGGGATTGACCGAATTGGCCAAAACCGGTCGGGAGGACTTTATTATTATTATATTTTAATAATATTTGTCTATACTAATATTATAAAGAGGTAAAGTTTATGAGTTTATGAATTAGGTAGGTAGTAGGGGATAATCTCAGGATCGACTGAACCGATTTAGATGCAATTTGGTAAGAAGATAATTTGAGACCTTGGGAAGGACATAGAATACTCTTTATCTAAATCATCCCTTAAGGGAGTGAAAATTGGGAAAAATAGACCATATTTCTATAATTATTCAAATAATTTCATCTATATATAATTTCTTTACAGTATTGGAATACGTTGGTCCCAAATGGCGTACGTTTGTAGCTAATATGTCAATAGCTATATTCTTTACATTGGGTGCTAGCTTACTGCCCTGGATAGCTTTGTGGGCGGATGATTGGAGAAGATATGCTTTGGGAATAAGTGCACCTTTCATCATAGCAGCATTTACACCATGGTTGGTTCCTGAAAGTGCAAGGTGATTAATATATTAATTTTATTCCTGTTATCCATACTAATATTATAAATCTGAAAGTGTGTTTGTTTGTCCGTTTTTCACGTCGAAACGAAATGATGTATTGGCGTGATTTTTTATATGGAGACAGTTGGAGGGCTGGAGAATGACATAGGCTACTTTTTACCGCGTGAGATTATCTCATTCCCACGGAAAAACACGTTATAATACAACTAAAAAAATATTTATGATCAGAATTACTTAAAATTTGATATTAATATTCTTCAGTGCAATTACATAAATACGTGTTTTAGTATTTTTCGAAATTCATCCCATAAGGGGGTAAAATAGGGGATGAAAGTTTGTATGAAACCTAATTTATAGAGATTTTTTGTAGTTTTAACGCGAGCGAAGCCGCGGGTTCTGTTAGTTTTTACATATATGTATGTAGCGAAATATTCAAAGCCTATACATTATCGAGAATCTCTAATATATACTATAATATTATAAAGAGGCAGAGTTTGTTTGTTTGAACGCGCTAATCTCAGGAACTACTAATCCGATTTGAAAAATTCTTTTTCCATTAGATAGCCCGTTTATTGAGGAAGACTATAGGCTATATATCATCATGCTATTACCCAAGGGAGTGGAGCAGTACCTAATCATAAATGTCAACAAATCGGGCAGACTTCCATACATTATTGTAAAACTGATGTTTATATTATGTTTAAGTGCTTTACGCTCAGAATCTACTAAACCGATTTCAAAAAATACCTTTTCCATAAAGTGGAAAAGATTTTCTGTAGTTTTAGCGCGAACGAAGCCGATAGCGGGTTCTGCTAATAGAATATACATATGTGGAAGTGAAGTATTTTATAATGTTCATTTGAAAAGCTTTTTATACATTTGTTATTTTAATAAAAATATAGCATTTTTTTAAATGTACGCTCTAGATCTTCGAAAGTCCATATCCTCCAGAATAAATCTGTCTAAATCTAATATACCTATGGAAATATTACATAGTTTGTAGATTCATAGGTTCATTCAATGTATAGATTAGGTTTTTGTTCGTCTCATTTTTTTTGTTACGTAATTTCCTAAAAACATGCAATTTATCTCTTCTTAAAAACGACGAGCAAAACTCGGTCGTTCAGTTACTTAAGTAAAGATATAAACATACTCATATCACGCTTTAAATTATTTTGTTTTACTCACATAGTTCTTAAGTAATTATATTGTACTAACTAACTATGAGCCTATGTCTAAGGTTGCCTGGAAGAGATCGCTTATAGCGATAAGGCCGCCTGCTGTGCATCATCTATTGTTTATATCTTCTTTTTGTATATTTATTTTCTATCTATCTATCTATCTATCTATCTATCTATCTATCTATCTATCTATCTATCTATCTATCTATCTATCTATCTATCTATCTATCTATCTATCTATCTATCTATCTATCTATCTATCTATCTATCTATCTATCTATCTATCTATCTATCTATCTATCTATCTATCTATCTATCTATCTATCTATCTATCTATCTATCTATCTATCTATCTATCTATCTATCTATCTATCTATCTATCTATCTATCTATCTATCTATCTATCTATCTATCTATCTATCTATCTATCTATCTATCTATCTATCTATCTATCTATCTATCTATCTATCTATCTATCTATCTATCTATCTATCTATCTATCTATCTATCTATCTATCTATCTATCTATCTATCTATCTATCTATCTATCTATCTATCTATCTATCTATCTATCTATCTATCTATCTATCTATCTATCTATCTATCTATCTATCTATCTATCTATCTATCTATCTATCTATCTATCTATCTATCTATCTATCTATCTATCTATCTATCTATCTATCTATCTATCTATCTATCTATCTATCTATCTATCTATCTATCTATCTATCTATCTATCTATCTATCTATCTATCTATCTATCTATCTATCTATCTATCTATCTATCTATCTATCTATCTATCTATCTATCTATCTATCTATCTATCTATCTATCTATCTATCTATCTATCTATCTATCTATCTATCTATCTATCTATCTATCTATCTATCTATCTATCTATCTATCTATCTATCTATCTATCTATCTATCTATCTATCTATCTATCTTGCTTGATAATAAAAAAAATATTTTTATTTTATTATTTATTTATTTAATTTATTCTTGCAGATGGTTATTATCGCAAGGAAAGATAGACAAAGCCTTGATTATTATGAAGAAGTTCGAGAGAATCAATAAGACTAAAATACCTGATAAAGTACTGACCGAGTTCACTGTAAGTATTTTATTATTTACTAATTTATGCCCGCGACTGCGCTCGCGTATTTTTAACCCACGACGCAAAAACGACGGGGTGTTATAAGTTTGACGTGTCTGTGTGTGTGTGTCTGTCTGTGGCATCGTAGCTCCCGAACAGATGTACCGATTTTGATTTTGTTTTTTTTTTGTTTGAAAGGTGAATTAGTCGGGAGTGTTCTGAGCTATGTTTGATGAAATCGGTCCTAGATGGTCGTTTTTTTTTTAATTTTTAATTATTACTGTATAACTATCGACATATCCCCGATTCGCTTGAGTGCCTTTTTTAGGGCTTTTATATTCTAGTAATATTATAAATGCGGAAGTTTATAAGAATATATATGTATGTACATCCATACATACATATACGCTTGTTACTCTTTCACGCAAAAACTACTGAACGGATTTCGATGAAACTTCACAGTTATATAGCTTATACAGCAGATATACTATTATATACACTATACAGGTAGCGCCACCTTTCGGAAAATTTTATAACTAACATTAGCTTATGTGTTAGTCTATCACAGGTAGGGTAGACACAGTCTATTTGTGTAAGTATATATATTTCACCTAAATACGCCCAGCCATTTCAGAGTGAAGGTCTTAAAAATCGGATATTTAGTCCAGAGCCGGATTCGAACCTGCGACCACCACCAACAATAAAAGAGAAAATTTCATACAATATTGATTACTTGAATTGATGTAATTATAAATGTTCTTGGCCAACTTAACTTTTTGTTAAAATCATTGATAGGAAAAAACATCGTGAGAAAAACAACTCGGAAATAACTCTGATAATATCCGGAAGAACGTAGCGTAAAATAGTATTTTAATAGTATTATTTTTATGTAATACTAGCATTGCCCGCGGCTCCGCCCGCGTTCAGATGACCAAAAACCAAATTCTTAGTTTTACATTTTAGTATACTTTTACATTGTAGTTTTTGTATTTTTTCTTAGAAATGAGACATTTTCCCGCGCTAAAAGGTATCCCATATGTTGACCCGCATAACCAGCTATCACCATACTAAATTTCATCAAAATCCCACGAGTGGTTTTTCTGTGATGCGGTAATAGATAGACAGACAGACAGACAAAAATTCTAAAAACTATAAGTTCGGCCTCTGTATCGATAATAATGTTTATTTCATTAAGATTTTCCAAAAAAATATTTAATGTACAGATTCGGCATAGTTACAAATTTATTATATGTATAGATTAGCGACTAGCCAGATGTAAAGTGGCTTTATTATATATTATAAACTAGTGTTTTCCTGCGTAGTGTCATTATTTATTATAGCCGGTTATAAGGTATTAAGGTTCCTATTAGTATTAAGTTCAAAGTTATTGTTAAATATTAAATTTTAAATGTTGTTAGGTAATACATATTAAACTATGGACCTGTGTCTGAATGAAAATTAAATAAATAAAAAAATAAAAATAAATAAAAAAATATAACGGTTAATATGGAATAGATATAATATATATAGGTACATAGATAAAGAAAAGTAGGTAAGAAAATATTTCCCTTGAGAAATAATTGATTCGCCATAAAAACTTCCACCCACTTTTTCACCCCTTAAGGGATGATTTCTTGGATAAAAACTGTTCTATGTCCTTCCCAGGGTCTCAAACTATCTCTTATACTTCTTATATATACCTAAGTTATATTACTGTAAAGTTTCATTAAAATCGGTTCAGTGGTTTTGGTGCGAAAGGGTAACAAACATTTATCCATCCATACATTCTTCCATAAAAGCAGGATTAAAGTATCTAAGAGTTTGTGTTTATACGGGCTTATCTCAGAAACTACTCTACGGATTTTCGTAAGGTTTTCACCAATAAATAGAGGCATTACTTAGAAAAGTCATGGGTTATAATTAATGAACATTTTACGAAGAAAATGTAACTTTATGATCTACAATATTATAAATGAAAAGGATATAGGGATGTACTCGTATCATCATCACTAGTACGTGCATAAAATATCTTAATTAGTTAATAATAGTACCCATTGTCTTCAAAGTGATAAATCTCAAACTATCCGATAATTTGCCAAGGTTTCTATAATGTTTGTTTGATAATAAGCCCTCAAGGGCTTTCATACTCACCAATAAAACATCATATTGATGGAACATCAGATTGATGGTTTAGGAACGCTTTTGTAACTGAAAGATGTACATATATTTTTATATTTAAATCTCTTCATCGATTACGGTCATGGCAGCACAAAGCAATTTGTGCGGAAGATAAAATAGTACAATGTATGAGCGCAGGCTCAAGTACAATGTGTCTACCATTTTACTTACTTTCTGAGGCACTGAAGTGGCACACCGCCAACTTTCCCAACTCCCTGTTTAAGAGTTTTTTTTACAGAAAAAAACCTACTAATTATACTTAGTCTCACCCGGGACTTGAACCCAGGACCTCGGGATCTGTAGCAGTACATTTTAGCCCTTGGAGCATCTATGTAAAGATAGTAATAATAATCTAATTTTTTAAGGTTCTCTGCACCTCATAAAAATATTAAACTTATATAATCACTTTTGTGCCTATATGTATGTAATACAATTTTAACTTTACAGGAAGCTACCCAGAAAAAAATTAAAGAATCTGAAGCTGAATCAAAAACTTACTCAGTATTAGACATCTTCAGAACCCCTCGACTGAGGAGGAATGCGCTTCTTCTAATCGTGATCTGGATGGCCATATCCCTGGTCTTCGATGGTCACGTCAGAAATGTTGGGTCTTTAGGTCTGGATATCTTTTTGACATTCACAATTGCCACTGCTACTGAGTTTCCTGCAGATACTTTCTTAACTATTGTTTTAGATCGGTGAGTGAATTTTGATGGGGTTTTTGTTTTTTTTTAACTATATCATTAGAATTAGTAGAAAGTCACAAATTGATATCTCACTAGATATATTTTGTTGTACCATTACCTAATTCTTTTCAAATGACGTCATTTTGGTGCTTTAACAACTAGCTGCTAATGAAATATTCGAGTTTGGATTTATTTGAGTTATTTTTACAATTTCCTTAAACCTGCCTAATCGCCATAAATCATCAATAAATAAAAAATCAAAAAAAAATAAAAAAAATAAAAAAAAAAATGCTCAAAAAAAATGGAAAAAATCGGCAAAGTCTTATTACAATGCCAAATATTTGCAATACAAAAAAAAAACAAAAAAAGAAGGAGAAAGTATTAAATAATCATATTTTTTTAGATGGGGAAGAAGATGGTTAGCTTGTGGATCTATGGTTATAAGCGGAGTTTTCAGTCTTCTAGCCACGGCTGTGCCTATTGGTGAGTCAATGTTTAAAATTATCTGGCAACTTATTACAATGCAAATATTATGAAGGAAGTTTTTAAACCGACTTGAAATAGAGGAAGTACGTAATTTAGATGTCCTTTTTTTGTGTGTAAGTAAAATATAGCTTATATATGTTAGCCTCTCTTTGTTACAATGTTTTTTTTTAATCAAAACATGAAGGTTTTGAAAATATTGAGTACTAGAGGCTCACCCTCGCTTCGCTTGGATTTACCTTTAGAAATGCGAAAACCTATCCCACGGGAACCGTACATTTTTCCGGGATAAAAAGTAGCCTATGTGTTATTCTGATGTATGAGCTATATTACTGTAAAGTTTCTTAAAATCCATTCAGTAGTTCATCCTCACAAACTTTCGCATTTATAATATTTTATATTATTTTTAAATGTTTAAAATAAAAATTATACTTTTAATCAATACTTCAAGCTATTTCCGACTAAATATTTTAACTCGTTTTCTGTACTTTTTTAAATCCTTTCCCAAAGCATTATTGAGATTATACCAAATTACTTATATAATTAATATTACATTAAAATCGATTTAGCCCGTGGAATTTTGTCAGAATTATGTTCACATTTATATCTATTAGCAAATTAGCAACAGATGTAAATAACTCTAAATAAAACTATGAAACAAAACGATGAGAGAACTCCTATATCTCGTCTCTCCCGTGACCATGATTGCTGTAAAGCATTGGAAACGTCGGAAACTAAAAATCAAAATAAATCCGCGAAAAAATCCGAAAAAATAGTTTTATTTAAAATGTCAAATATTCTCGTAAATCTAAGAATATATGATATAAATACATTGGCTACAAACTTATTATCATTAATCTATACATATAATAAAATTCTAAGTAAGCCGAATCTGTACAGTAAATATTTTTTGAAAAATCTTATTGAAATAGACATTATTATCGATACAGAGGCCAAATCTATAGATTTTAGAATTTTTGTCTGTCTGTCTGTCTGTCTGTCTGTTACCGCATCACATAAAAACCACTGAAGAGATTTTGATGAAATTTGGTATAGTGATAGCTGGTCATCCGGGTAAATGTTGGCAGGGTGCAAAGCGGCTGGAGGGAGTAGCCTAAACGATCACAGTGCTCGCTACGGCTAAAATTGTCATTTTTGTCGCTGACTTGACTTGTCAAATCCATATTGCAGTAAATATTTTCTTATTGTTTTTGAGATAAATTTAATATGGTCCTAGTAAGATGTGTTATTGTGAATTGTAACAACATCAAGCGACTGTAAATTTTACCAATTCGAAGCCGCGGGCAATGCTAGTAAATAAATAAACTTATTTTACCGACCAAACTCCTTCGAGTCCTCTTCATTTTTCGTGACATTGAGGAAGTAATCTGTGCTCAAATGGCACGCTTTGAAGCACAGATTACGTTTCACTAACTAAACATTGAATAGAATTGAATTCAAAAATCTATTTTCCAGGTGCTCCTTCAGCATCTCTAGCTATTTTGGGACGTTTCGCGGTAAATATATCTTATAACATCGGTCTGCAATACGCGGCGGAGTTATTGCCAACAGTGGTAAGAGCTCAAGGAGTGGCTTTGATACATATCATGGGATATGTTGCATCTATTGTAGCACCATTTGTTGTTTATTTGGTAAGTTTATTTTTTTGTTTCCATTTGTTAAACACGGGACGGGAAATCCCGTTATTTTTATTCTTCTGCTATGAATAGAAGACACTTATATCTATCTATACATATAATAAAATTCTAACAGACTCGAATCTTACATTAAATCGATACAGAGGCCGAATCTATAGTTTTTAGAATTTTTGTCTGTCTATCTATCTGGGAACGCATCACGAAAAAACCACTGAACAGATTTTGAAGATGATAGCTGATTACTATTTTTACTGCGGGAAAATAACTCATCTCTGAGAAATCTATACTAAACGTTAAAGCGTTCTTAGGGACGAACCTGATCGATGGGAGGGTTAGTCGCTAGTAAAAAATGTTCTTTATGAATTATCATTTCACAACGCGTCAAGTTAGAGGGATAATTTAAAGGAAATATCGTCATATGAAAATGATGACAAAAATTGAAAAAAATGATGATATATAAATTATATCAAATACTTTAATAGCGAAACGAATTACAAATTATTTATTAACTAAATCAAATCTAACCCACGGGAACCGTGTATTTTCCGGGATGAAAAGTAACCTATGTGTTATTCCAGACTAATCTATCTCTGTGCCAAATTTCATCCAGATCCGTTCAACCGTTCTGGCGTGAAAGAGTAACAAACATCCATACTCATAAATTCGTTCAATCCGTTCATTAATGGAAAGCGTATGAAAATCCGTCGGAAACAGATGCAACGGGGGGGTTTTATTTTATAATGTGTAGCGATTTTTGTATGTTTGTGCTTGTGCCAGTTTATGCCTGAAAGAACTGTTATTTAATAATAAAATTCATATTATGTTAATTTTTCTTTTCCAGGCCAACATTTCTCAAGAACTGCCTCTCTTAATTCTTGGTGCTCTGGGTATTGTGGGTGGAGTGATGTGCCTCTTACTTCCAGAGACGATGGACACAGAGATGCCTCAGACCCTCGCTGATGGAGAGGAATTTGGCAAGGATCAAAGGTTTTGGGATATTCCTTGTTTCCCCAGGTAACATTTTCTTTCATTTTTTTTAAGAAATTGCTAAAATCTATATCTGAAATATTTTGGCATAAAATTATTAGGTATAAATTTCTTTTTGTCGTTAATATATCATATACCTATATTTCTTTTCATTAATCTCGATACTTAGAATGTAAAATTTAAACAGTATAACATGTTTCTTACAGAAAAAACAAAGAGGCCAACACAGACACTCTCAGTCACCGGTCCTCGCAAGAAAATCATTTTATCAGATCCCTCCCAGCATCCGGATCTAGAGCATCTGTGAGAGCCTCAGTAAGATTATCGTCGAGGTCAACGAAACGAAATCAAGAAAATGGAGTGTGATCTATTACTTAGTAGTAATTATTTATTTGTTTCTAATTTTGTTAAAAGATCTCTGAATTATAAAGTAAATTAATTTATAAATTGGTTGTGTTAAGAAAAAAATGTTATAAACTAAATTTTCAAAATTTGAAATTAGGTTTCAAAAATTTTTGTTTTCAAAAATTTGTACAAATGAAAATGATATAAATCCATGAAAATCTTGGCATCGTATTTAAAAATAAATATATGAACCTAAAAATTAAACTCATACATTTGGGTTCAGTATTTTAAAACCAAAGAGCTAAACTCTCTGCTCTCTAAACAGTTCTTGCCAGAAAAGTACAAGGTACCTAAAATAAGGGCTTGCCTATATAACAGGTTGTGTCTTGAATTGCAACAAATTAAGCTATAGATTAGATAAGTATACTAAATGTTAATGATCACTATACGTGAATAACTTGATCTGAGTGACAAAAACAAAATACTTGAGATTTCAAGTTTATTTGAAAAATTATGTATTACAAGCGAAATTTTTTATTGAAAAGTTTAAAGTAATATTATAAGAAATATATAGTATATTTGTGTTTAGTAAAACATTTAATTTATATATTTGTAAAGTATATTACCTTATAATATAGTAGTTGTTGATAATATAACTAATTATTATTAATCATTTAACTAATTTTGATTTTGTGGATTACCAATTTTTACAGATTTGTTTAAACAATTTCGATGAAATTATCATATCTTATAAAATAATATTTAAATCAAGTCATTCACGTATATTATGTAAATATTTAATTATATGTTTAGCTTTAATTGAATTTGTTATTTACTTATAAATTATTTTAAGATTTATACAAATTTTGCTTCAAGAATTAAATGGCATAGATACTTTATAGTCAAAAAATGTTTGTTCACAATTTTTGAAATTCAAAGTTGAAATTCATAAATATTCACAAAAATCAATAGTGGCATGATTTTTTTTTTATAATTACGTAAACAATATGTTTTTTTTTGCATGAATATATGTAAAAAAATGATAGTATTTTAAACATAATATAATAATATTTTCAATTTACTGTAAATAATTTTATTAAGTATATATTCTTATAAGTTAACATATCCTATTCTAACATAGCTTTAAGACACGATATCCATTTTTAAAATCTTAGCCAACTCTTTCTATCGCATATGTATGAAAGAGACAGATGTATTTATTTTTGAATTACTTAAGTATTCTCGATGCCATTTTGTATTTTTGGTGCGAAATTAAACACACAATCATTTCTGTGATAATAATAATAATTAAATTAATTAATATCATAGAATTTTATGTCTTTTATTTTAATACTATCAGATCGTTTACTATCTTCAAAGAATGAAGATAATATGACGACACGTTAGGCTTAGTTTGTACTTGCTGTGCCAGCGGTTGCGGGTTCGAATCCCACTGGAGACATTCATTTGTGTGACGACGAATGTTTGTGCTCTACTCATGGGTGTTTATATTTATTATATGTATGTACTAGCACGACTTTCTTTTATATATATAGATTTAAAGTTATATATGTGTAGTGTATCAACTATATAGTATCCATAACACAAGCCTCGTAGCTTACCATGGAACTAGATGGTGCTGTGTGTAATGTACCAACATATTTATTTATTTAATTAATAACTTAATAAGTACCAGTCGTTCATTTACAATTTGTGGGAAGAAAATATGAATAAAAAAAATCTTCAGTATGTTTTAAGCATTAGTCCCGTTCCCTTTGAAAGACAGCAAGCGTAATATTAGCTTGATCAATTGTTTTTTTTTTAATATAATAAAATCCATTGGCTATCTTTATTTAATAAAATTTATTTACTTTCACTTAACACTCCGTATACAAATTGTCATTTGTATACTATTTTAAAACATTATTGTTTGGCTTCACGTTTAGTTCCATGGCACGCGTATATTATTTCTTAGTCTGAGAATATGATTTAACAGCTCTGGAGATTAGCCAATATGTATGTATATATGTATTCAGACCTTTAACGTCCCACTGCAGGGGGTGGACCTCCCTTCAACACGAGGGGGATCAAGCCATAGTCCACCACGCTGGCCAAGTGCGGTGTCTTTTGAAAACTTGCTAGGTTCTCTCAGACATGCAGGTTTCCTCACGATGTTTTCCTTCGCCGTAAGACAAGTGGCCATCATGTTGGAAATGATTAGTGGATATAAAAAATCTTAATGAATAGCATATTGTACCTCATTTAAATAAAGTTTTGAAAAATACTTTCAAGTTGCAGTATTTTTTAATTATATTTACATGAATAAAATATCTATGGTATATAAAACACAGTATTTACGCAAAAAATTTTCATGTTATCAACTTACGTCAATCCAGTGATAGCCAGCTAGTACTGGTGTTACAAATGTTTACTTAATTTTATGTTTATTTACCTAATTTATATAAAAATGTTGAAAAGATAAACGACGAAACAAACGTATGATTTTTTATTAGTACTTGCTATTTATTATCTGTATCTCTACAGATTTCATGGGCTCGAAGAAGCCTGGTCAATTAGAAGGCTTGCGTGAAGACACAAGATGCCAGCATCAGACATCAGCCAGGATCCATGTCTGTGTAAACCATGGGAAATTGCTTAAATACTTTTACCGGATAATATGTAGGGAGTATGGAAAATATGGTAAACTAAGTTGTTCTATGGAATGATGTTTGGATGGGCTACAGATCTACTGGATAAGTGTAGCGGACATCTGTCTTCTCAACAATTTAACATTGAATATTTGGCGAATTTTGACTCGTCTTCTACTAAATGGGCCCCAAACAAAGCGGCGTAGTACCTCGCATTCGTCCTAATCGCGAGTTCTCGTGAGCGGAATTCACCGTTATTATGCAGATTGAACACTTCCACTTTTTCGAGCATTTAGCTCTTTCACTCTTGACGACCATCAAAAACAAACCGGGGGCAGATGTTGCTGCTCCCTAGAGATCTCAGGTCCGTGGTGTCACCACTCACCAACACCTCGCCACTTGCTGCCCTGCGGCCTTACATTGCTGGGCACGGCCCTCTTCTATGCGAGGGGGATCAGCGCATAGTCCGACACGCTGGGAAATTACTTGTTGACAGACTTCTCATATATTTCAAAATCAAAATTAAAATATACTTTATTCAAATAATCTTTTACAAGTGCTTTATCCATATTCAATATTATAAATATTAAAGTTTGTGAGGATGGATGGACGTTTGTTACTCAATCACGCCAGGACGACTGAACGGATCTGGATGAAAGGCGCGGAGATAGATTATAGTCTGGAATAGCATATAGGTTACTTTTTATCACGGTAAAGTGTACGGTTCGCGTGAGATAGATTTGTATTTGTATAAAGAGGAACTCGAAACGAATCGAGGGCTGTCGCTAGAAGTCCTATAAAACGAGATACGTTCTCTGTATGTCGACTTCCTTCACTGTAATCGCGAATGGTAATCTTGAAAGTATATTCGTGCATTCATTCATTTATCTATACTAATATTATAAAGAGGTAAAGTTTGTGAGTTTGGGACGTTGTAAGGGTAATCTCTGCATCTACTGAATCAATCGATTTAGATAAAATTTGGTAAGAACATATTTTGAGACCCTGAGTACATAGGATACTTTTTATCTCAGAAATCATCCCTTGAGGGGGTGAAAATGGGTATGAAAGTTTGTATGGGGACCAGGGATAGCCCGAGCGAAGTGAGGGTGAGTCGCTAATTCATCTATAAGCAGGACAGTCACATAGATTTATTTTTTCTGTTATATATTATTTTTTTAGATATTAAGCCTGTTGTCAAAACTTACTAAAAACAAAGCTAATAAAATTGATATTAGAACCGGTCGTTAGTATTTCTTTAAAACAAGTAATAATTGCAGTCTATTTCTAACAATAAGTATGAGAACCAATTTAGATCCAATAAAAAGACAGAATGCATCGTCACCATATAGCTTCAAAATAGATAGATATGGCATATTAATATATTTTTAATACGAAAGTACTTACTCTGTATAACTGTTCAATATGTTTTTTTCATTATTTTTGTGCTTCCTAAGATTACATTAAATTCTGGTTTTATTTATTTTACTCTATATCTGTCACTGCATTACCTAGCTCTATACATCTATACATATAATAAAATTGTAACTAAGCCTAATCTGTACATTAAATATTTTTTGGAAAATCTTATTGAAATAGACATTATTATCGATACAGAGGCCGAATCTATAGTTTTTAGAACTTTTATCTGTATGTCTGTCTGCCTGTTACTGCATCACGGAAAAACCACTGGAGGGATTTTGATGAAATTTGGTATGGTGATAGCTGGTTATCCGAATCAACATATAGGGTACTTTATACCGCGGGAACATATCTCATTTCTGAGAAAGAATACAAAAACTGCAATGTAAGATTATACTAATATATAAAACCTAAGAATTTGGGTTTTGGTCATCTGAACGCAGGCGGTGCCGCTAGCTCAAATTTCATTCAGATCAGTTGAGCCGTTCTGGCGTGAAAGAGTAACAAACATACATACATTCTTACAAACTTTCGCGTTTATAATATATGTAAGATTATAATTGAATATTAGGATAAATTACAGAAAATAACTAGAATAAAATCGATCTAGAGTAACTAAAAACAAAATGGTGTTAAAGATCTATGGCACTTAGATCGAGACTTACGAGTATATATACATATATATGTATGTACTCGTAGTTAATAACAGGGCATCAAAGACGCGGTCTAACTGATGTCACATTGTTATACCAATAATAAAATGTATCTATCTAAATAAATATAGGCAGTGGTAGCGCAGTGGTAACTCGCTCGCTTGGGAAACCGAGTGAAGCGGGTTCAAATCCCGGGTCTCGCATCTCTGATATTTTCATGTGCGATTCACATTTTTTTTCAACATGATTACCAAGAGAGAATGAGATATTTTCCCGCAGTAAAAAGTATCCTGTATGTTGACCCGGATAACCAACTAACATCATATCAAATTTTATCAAAATCTGTCCAGTGGTATCCTCGTGATGCGCTTCTAGACAGACAGACGGGCAAAAAATTTACAAACTATAAATTCGGCCTCTGTATCGATAATAATGACTATTTCAATAAGATTTTCCAATAAACTTTAATGTATAGATTCGACTCAGAATTTTTTATATGTATAGATAAATGACAAGAAAAAGAATCAGAGGTACGTATGTGGAATTTATAGCGCTTAGTTCTCCATTCAAGGCAGTGGTAGTCCGATGGTATCGCGCTCGTTTGGGAAACCGAGTGAAGCGGGTTCAAATCACGGGTCTCGCATCTCTAATATTTTCATGTGCGTATCATTTCCAACATGATTACCACTTGTCTTAACGGTGAAGGAAAACATCGTGAGGAAACCTGCATGTCTGAGATAACCTAACAAGTTTTCGTAAGACATATTGTGAAGTCCGCCAATCCACACTTAGCCAGCGTGGTGGACTATAGCCTGATCGCCCTCGTATTGAAGGAAGGCCCGAGCCCAGCAGTGGGACTTTAATAAAAACTTTAAAAAATCGTCTTCCAGGCATTAAAATGTAAAAAATAACTAAACGAGGGTTTTCATTTAGAATAGATACCTAATCACACATTTTCGAAGTCGGTGCCAGCCTATGCAAAGCAAATCTAATATATTTCGATACGTACAACACATATTTACCTATTAGATATTCATATCTTACAATATTGTCGGCTACATAAAAAAAAAGATTCCGACGAATTGAGAAACTCCTTATTTTTGGAAGTCAGTTAAAAAGGGCTGAATACAATACAAATAAATATAATATAGATGAATGGCCTAATTATATATATATATATATATATATATATATATAAATATATATATATATATATATATAATTTTATATTAAAAAATTATATATATATAATAACGTATGTACATCTATATTTATATTTTAGGCTCTGGTAGCGAATAAGTAACGCGTTTAATTAGAAAACCAAAAGAAGCGGGTTTAAATCTCTGGAAAACTTCTAATAGGTATATGTAATTAACACTTGCAAATACGTTGAAGGAAAACGTGAGAAAATCTGCGTGAAAAAAATAAAATCTCTCAAAATGATCTATTTTTAACAGCACATGTTTTATATTAAAGCAAAGGTACTAAAATTGGTTTGTAGAGATATCAGCTACAACACACCGTTCTTTAAATGTAAGTTCTAGGCGTAATAGAAAAGGTTTATATTTGTATGATTTCAGTGAACACTTCAGTGGTTCTAAAACTTTTATAAAGATTTTAAAAAAATATAGCTTATATTAGGGCAAAAATTCTACTACAATGAGATCCATCGATCTCGATTTCTCATCGGTTTCTACCCCCAACTAAAAACAGAGAAACAGATAGATACCTATATAGAATAACATACCAACAGATAAATAAAAATTACCTATCTATATAAAAAAAACTGTTTACATTTTTTTATTGATAATAGCCTTCTCTCGCCTATAGCTACTAAACAAGAAAACGGTAAAAAAGGCACTGAACTGTTGTTGTTGTGTTGTTGTTGTTTATATTATACTAGCAGAAACCGCGGCTTCGCTCGCGCTAAAACTACAAAAAAACTCTCAAAAGTGGGTTTCATAAAAAAATGCATCCCCTATTTTAGTCTCTTAGGGGTTGAATTTTAGAAAACACTGAAATAAGTAAGTTATTATTTTTGCCGTACCCAATTCATACGAAATTTCATGAAAATATGTCCAAGGAATAAAAAAGTTTCATACAAACTTTTATCCCCTATTTCACCCCCTTGGGGGTTGAATTTTTAAAAATCCTTCCTTAGTGGATGCCGTCATCATATGAGGAATACGTGTGTGAAATTTCAATTTTCTAGCCTGTGGGTCTGTGGGTTGAGATATCACTCAATCACTTTTGCCTTAAAATATGTAGATACTTAAAGGCAAAAGTATATCAAAAAATATATTAAAGTATATAGATACTTTTTATTAAGAAATATAATTAATTCATCTCATTTCAGTTATAAATATTTAAAGTTTGAACAGCGGTGCCATTTTGTATAGACAAGATATAAAGACATCCTCAAAGCATTCATTTCGAGCTTATGTATAATAGATAAGATTCAAAATCCTATAATTTGTTTGGACATATGTGTCATATTTAATTGGAAAAATTAATGTACTTTAATCATTCTGCATTCAATCTTGATACAAGACACTTCTCCATTTAAAAAATTTAAGCTCGATAGAGTTTTTGGTGGAATATTTTGGAATAAAAGCGGTAAGTGAATATATGTATTAAAAATCGATTTAACAAAAAACTTTAAAAAAAACCCAGATCCAGGCACTAAAATGTAAAAAATAACTAAACGGGGGTTTTCATCTACACATATAATAAAATGGTAACTAAGCCGAATCTGTACATAAAATATTTTTTGGAAAATCTTATTGAATTAAACATTATTATTGATACAAAGGCCGAATCTATAGTTTTAAGAATTATTGTCTGTCTGTTACCGTATCACAGAAAAACCACTGGAGGGATTTTGATGAAATTTGGTATGGTGATAGCTGGTTATCCGGGTCAACATATAGGATACTTTTTACCGCGGGAAAATGTCTAATTTCTGAGAAAAAAATACAAAAACTGCAATGTAAGAGTATCCTAATATGTAAGACCTAAGAATTTGGTTTTCGGTCATCTGAACGCGGGCGGAGCCGCGGGCAGTGCTAGTTTAGAATAAATACCTAATCAGATATTTTCGAAGTCGGTGCCAGCCGATGCAAAGCAAATCTAATATATTTCGATACGTAAAATACATATTTACATATTAGATATTCATATCTTAAAATATTGATCGATTTTGAAATCGATATATTGTTTCAGTTAAAGCATTAGGTATAAATTTAGTATAATATAATAAGACGAGGATATATGAGATTTTGCCATATTACTTAAAAAGTTACCAAAAAAACCCAATTAAGATTGTTTTTCTCAAATAATTCTTAAACATACAAACACACAAACAGATATGGAATAAAATATAGATTTTTCCATTTTATTTAAATAAATGGTATATCTAAATTAGTTTAGTATGTTTCTGATAACAAAAGGACAAACAAAGAGACAAATATAAATAGCATTAGCACATCCTTATGAAGAATTATTATCACAATCTACATATTATAATAAGGTAGTTACTACGTACTGCTCGTATCCCTAGTTATGGGGTTCCTCTGTAATCTTAATATCTAACTAACGATTTTTAATTTATTTAGTGGAAGGGGGGGATTTAGTGGAACCCTGTTCTTTTTTGTAAAAATAAAGTAGTCCAAGTTTCTCCTTATAACATCAGCTATCTGCCCGTGAAAGTCCCGTCAAAATCGGTCCAGCCGATTTGGAGATTAGCCGGAACAAACAGATAGGCAAATAGATAGAACGATAGAAAACAATTTTAAAAATTGTGTTTTTATTATAAGTATCATACTCGTATATAATTTCACATGCATTTATTAAAAAGCTGTTATATTGATATTACAAGCAGACACTTCAATTTTATTTATCTGTATAGATTAGCTGTTTTTGACAGCTTTACCTGCGTCGTTTAATTTTGTAGAAATACTCCGCTGTTGTAGGTCGCAACAAGAAACTGTGAAAGAAACAAAAAGGTATGATATAAGCCAAAAAAAAACAAAAACAACAACTTACTAACTGTACTGACTAAGTATTCGAACCCAGGACTACTGAATTTGCAGACCTTTAAGCTAGCATTTAGACCAACGTACATACATATGTAGATACTGTCAGATAATGTTACCTGATAGTAAAACAATAAATACAAAAATTGAGTAAAAGACACGTGAACAAACATACAGCTTAGAAAGACATTAACTGCAGTGTTATCTTATCATTAAGATTTAAATGTAGTATTAATAGCAATATAAACTTTACCAGCGACAGGTCATGCCTTCACCCAGACTTGACAAATTGAATACTAAGCATAAACTTTATCTTATACTAGCGACTCACCCTCGCTCCGCTCGGGTTCATCCCTACTTCCGTTTTAACGTTTAGTATAGATTTCTCAGAAATGAGATATTCTCCCGCAGTAAAAAATATCCTATATGTTGACCCGGATAACCAGCTATCATCATACCAAATTTTATCAAAATCCCTCCAGTGGTTTTTCTGTGATGCGATAACAGACAGACAAACAGACAGACAGACAAAAATTCTAAAAACTATAGATTCTGCCTCTGTATCGATAATAATGATGAAAACTGCATCAAAATCATACAGTCAATTTATTTTATACTATTAAATCATGCTATATATTTATTCATTAGTTAAATGAATCATTCATAACGTATATCAGTGTTTTATGACTTCGCAAATCTTATGTGACGAAGATATTTTGCTTTAGTGTGGGTTGAAGTAAAATTGTTTATATCTCCTAAGGCATCGGTGGTTTAGCGGATAGCATGCAGCCAGCATATCCGGAGGTCTGGGTTCGAGTCCCGGGTCGGACAAGTTTCATTACTGAGTTTTTCTGATAAGACATTCTCAGTAGTAAACCGGAATTAAAAAGAGAGCACGTAAAACCGTCAGTCCTAGACTTGATGACTTAGTTGCTTAAAACATTCTTTCAAATACATATGCCTAAAAATTCATTCATCAGCTATTTATTAGTAACAAAACTAGTTTCATTTGCCTTACTCGGGCATTGAACTTGTGATAACCAGTGAAGAAGGGTAATAACTGCCTCACTATAAACTCGTGCGCAATACTTGTATTGAGTCATCTAGTTTGAAGACAATCGCTTCAATTAATAGCAATGAAACCACCAATGCTCAATAATTATCTTTTTGACCGACTTCAATATGGAAAAGTACCTAATAATTTATAAAAAAGTTTTTTTTTTCATTTTTTTTTTATTTTTTCAAACGTAATAGATTAAAGAATATTTTTTAATTGTAATATCAAAACTAAACAAACACACAAACAATTTTAATATTAAATATAATAACTAAGATACTGGCAACACAAATGAAATATTTTCAAATTGTATAACAATAACAACTCCAATTAGAATTATTTATTATATATTTTATAGTACGGTGCCATTTCTTCATTATTCAAGACGATTGCATCAAATAATTTTATCATTCGCCTTTCACGAAGTTACAAAATATCTTATTGATACGATAATCGAAACTAGCTTAAAATCGACTAATTATGTACTAGACTAGTTCCAAGTGAATCTAATAAAAGTTATTTAATAAGCGCGAGTCGGAATCGCGCACGAAGGGTTCCGTACCATTATCTATAAAAACGGCAAAAAATCATGTCTGTTGTATGGGAGCCCCACTTAAATATTTGTTTTATTTTGCACCAGTGGGACTCGTACCCGCGATCACTAGCACAGGAAGCCCTACAAACTAAGCAAAACGTGTCGTCAAATCCGTCATATCTTGAGATCCGTTGTCTAGATTTAGAAGATGTAAGCGGAACAACGGACAGACATAGACGACTTTGTTTTATACTATGTATATATTTTCATTCAGAAATTTTGTTTTTCTTACAGTTCAAGGTTTACAAGTTAAAATTTTCGTAACCAGAACAACGTCAGAAAAAGTGTCATTTAAGGAAAAAACCGACTTCGAAAATGGAATCACATGAGAAGATGGGCAGGATCGAGGGTGAACCCCGTGATCTTGAAAATGTTGATTTGGAATTAGAAAAGACGAAAGGTAAGTTTTAAAAGTTTTTTTTTTGAGAAAATTTTAAACTTTTTTCAAAGTAAATCTAATTGTTAGTCGGACTTAAAAGTTTTAAATATTTTCCCGTGACACTTGTTAACAAATGTTAACAAGTATCAGATAAGTATTCCAGATAAGTCCTCAAAATCAAGAGAAGAGTCATCTTCGTGTAAATGAAACTGGTTATTTCTTGCTGATATTTAATTTACGAATAATGCAACGATGGAATCTCATGGCACAGATATTTTATACACTTGAAAGGAAACTCCAACCTTTCGATCGTTTAATTTGTGTGCTACTGAAATAAATTACTTTTTCTACAACTAACGTTGATTGATTACGAACTATATTTATTTTATAACCTTAATATATTGTTACAGTAAATGGTGCTATTCCTCCAAGAAGCAACCAGAAATTAAAAGATTTGGATGATCTTTTTCCATATATTGGCGGCTTCGGCTGGTACCAACGGCTGCTGTTCTTCCTCATGATACCTTATTCCTTTTTCTTTGCTTTTGTCTATTTCTCTCAAATTTTTATGACAGTGGTTCCAGCTGAGCATTGGTGTTTTGTGCCTGAGCTAGGAAATTTGAGTGTGGAAGAACGGTAAGTTAAACATCTAGAATTACTTACTAATATAATAAAACCATCATCGTGTCCTAGAATCAGATTCTGAACTAGGTCAAATGAACGATTGAGATTTTTATTTTGATAACGATCAATAGTAACGAAGAATCGAAGAGGTCAGGCACTCAAAAGAGAATATAAAAATATGCATTCGTTTTTGGGTTGTACATACACTTGTGAGCTGAATTTAACGTGGTTAAAGGAATACTAAGTCAGAAGCATAATAAGACGAGTAACGCTTAGATGCGTTAGAGCCAAATAACCACACTTAAAGTCGGTTTCCATTTTTCATTTACATAATCTAGTTTCAAACCTTAAAAATGCTTTTAATAATCTTAAAATGTGATCGTAATTTGCACGGTGTATTTCGCGATTTCGTAGGAATCATCATTATCAGTCCGCTTTCGACTACAGCTGGATTTTTTTTTTATGAGAGTCTAGTTTCTTAGAGAGTTGCTAAACTTCTTCCTTTTTTGCTATCTTTATCTGCTATCTTTATCTGCGGCTATAGCCGGCTTGGCTAATTTTAAATACCTGCCCGCTTCGATTCCTACGCTAGCATTCTTAACCGTCAAAAAATAAATTAACAATTTCTTGATAATTCCTATGGACATTTATTATTAAAACTTACCTTCCAGACGACAACTGTCCATCCCGCAATCTAACAACGTGTACGAGAAATGTCTTGTGTACGATGTGGATTGGACGAAAATAGTACAGAGTGGAGAGTTAACACCAAATCCGAACTGGCCAGTGAAGAAATGTGAAAATAAATGGGAATTCAATTTTACTGATGTCCCATATGAAACTATTGCTACTCAGGTATATAATCTTCTTCTTCATGCACATTTCCCAAATTACTTGGGGTTGGCGCAGTACGTCTGCTGAGCGGTTTTGGTACAAGTTTTATGACTGGCTGCCTGCTTGACACTAACCCTTTTTGGGAATGTTGTTGTTTACCAACGTCTTGCAGACCCGAGGTGCGATAACCAGCACAGGATTGTCTTCTACGACACTTGCAGTGTTTAATCTTAATTAAATTTGCCGCAATGTTTCAATATCCAAGAGTTAATTTTGTTAAATATATAATTATTCCATTTCATGTCAAACCATAATGTGCACCAAAATTCAGCCATTTTTTCACTACTTTCACTGGCATAGCCAATTGCTTACGTTACTCATGACTTGATACTTGAAGAGCTCTTAAATTTAGTTCTTTAAATGACACACATATATTCGGGGATGTTCCAATAATGTTTACTCTTTCCATAACGTATTCATTTTTGGTCACTTCAATCTGAGAATCTTTTAAGACATTTGAATAGTATTCTTAAATAACTCAGGTATATAATATCCTTATATATTTACAACATATTTCTGTTTTGTATCCATCCAACTGAATATTTATTTGTTAGTAAATTTTAGTTAATGTAATTTTAGTATGGAAATGTATACCAAAATACCAAAAGAGAATAAGATCAAACAGAAAGATGATACTTATTACGGTTTCAAATGAATTTTTACATAAATATATTTTTATTTTTCACACCTCTCTACCTAATCTCTCATCTCATCGTTATCAATCACGTTCAACTTTCATCCCACCCATATATAATTATGTAAAGAATAGAGTTTAATTGTGTTTGCGCATACATTTCTGCACCAAAATTTCTCTTGCGCAATTTTTGCGAAGGATTCTCTTTCTATCTATGCTCTTTTTTCTTATAGCTTGGATGGGTGTGTGAAAAAGACAACTATCCAGCAACCGCTCAAGCTGTTTTCTTCTGTGGCTCCATTGTAGGAGGACTAATTTTTGGTTGGATTGCTGATAAATACGGAAGAGTTCCAGCTATTGTTGGTAAATTTTATATTCTATACATCTACATTAAAATAAAATTTTATTAGCAACTTTATTAACCTGTACTTTAATAAACAGGTAAAATTACTTATAAAAAATATAAATCTAAAAAATATTCACATTTGTTTGTTATCTAGTAATTTGTAATAGGTTATTGTTATTATACCTTGATTGTGTTTTCCAATAAAATCATTTGATTTGATATAAAAAAATTCTATCTCTTCGAAGTGTCTAATAAGAAATAGGAAGTTTTCGCATTATATTTTAACGTATTATAAGATTTTCTTTTCATTTTAGGTACAAATATGGCAGGTTTCTTTGCAGGAGTTGGGACGGCGTTTGCGAACAGCTTCTGGTCTTTCTGTTTGTGCAGATTCCTTGTAGGTCTTGCATATGACAACTGTTTCATTATCATGTATATTGTGGGTAAGTCGTTTATTTATTGCTTATCTTATATCTTTAAACGACCAATTCTTGTATATTTTTGTATAATTTTAATTGTTATTTCCAGTGGTGGAGTATGTCGGACCAAAATGGAGGACATTTGTTGCAAACATGTCAATTGCCGTATATTTTACTTTTGCTGCATGTTTGCTGCCTTGGATCGCACTAGCAGTATCTGATTGGAAAATCTATACTTTGATAACCAGTGTGCCTTTGGCGCTGTCGTTATTTACACCGTGTTTGGTTCCAGAAAGTGCAAGGTATTTTTAATAATAATAATAACTTTATTCATAAATGGATTGAACATATAATATAGTAATTTTACAGCATATTCTATGTGTATTTTCTTAAATTTAATAAACTAGCAGAACCCACGGCTTCGGCGCTAAAACAACAAAAAAACTGTAGAAAGGTACGTTTCATACAAACTTTCATCCCCTATTTTACCCCCCTTATGGGATGAATTTCGAAAAATGCTGAAACACGTATTTATTTAATTGTATTGAATACCAAGTTTCAAGTAATCCTATTTATAAATATTTTTTTGAGTTGTATTACAACGTGTTTTCCTGTGGGAATTAGATAATCTCCCGCAGTAAAAAGTAGCCTTTGTCACTCTCCAGCCCTCCAAATATCTGCACACAAAAAATCACGACAATCCATCAGAAAACCCAATATCTATGTTTTGTCCGACTTAGGAGTCGAATCCGGGTTCTCCGGATTAGCCGTGTCCTATCCCAGTCACTATACCAAGGAGGCAGTATTTTTTTATTAATAGATATTTAATCTCGGCTTTAATTTCGAATTATTTATTTCATTTTTGACAACTACATACATGTTCGGCGGTTTGTAATAAAACATAATAAAATATTTCAGATGGCTGATTTCAAAAGGACGTATTGATGAAGCACTTAAAATATTGAAAAAATGTGAAAGGATGAACCGAAAAAAGATTCCTGTTGAGATTTTGAAAGAATTTAAGGTAAATAATTAAATATTTGTACATTTGATTGATCTCAAAATGAATAACGACCGAACTGAGTCTATTATTACAAAATCGTACTTAAATAATTAAGCATTAAAAATGCGTAGAATTTTGAAAAAAATCTTGTTTACTGTAACTTAAAGTGTACTCGTATTTTAAAATGAACTAACATTAGTTAATATTTAATTTAATTTAGAATGTTTCATACAAACTTTGGCTTTGTTTACACGTTTGGCTCAGTTTGCAATGACCCTACTTGCTGTGCGAGCGGTCGCGGGTTCGAGTCCCGCTGGCAGCATTCATTTATGTGATAAGCTCGAATGTTTATACTCCAGTCATGGTTGTTTACCTTTATAATATGTATATATTTAAAGTTATATATGTGTAGTGTATCAACTATCTTGTATCCATAACACAAGCCTCGTAGCTTACCATAGAACTAGATGGTGCTGTGTGTTAATGTTCCAACACATTTTAATTTAAACTAATCCAGATGTTTTAAATGAGCAAACCAAGAAAATATATATACATAGATATTTTTAGAGGAATTAAAACTTTTAAAATACGAAAAAATAATTTATTATAATTGCTTTCAGGATACCGCCATAGAAATAGCAAAAGCTGAAGAGGAGATTAAAAATTATTCAGTGATCGATCTTTTCAAAACCCCTCGTCTTCGAAGAAACAGCATCTTACTTCTTTTCATATGGATGTACATCGCCATGGTCTTCGATGGACATGTCAGAAATGTAGGATCTTTGGGTCTAGATATGTTCTTGACCTTCACAATAGCTACAGCCACTGAATTCCCTGCTGATATTTTGCTAATTTTAACTCTTGATGTGTAAGTATGATTCTCAATACCTTACTAATATTATTGACAAAATTTGTCGATTAGTTTATTTGTTTTATCCATTTACCAGTTTGTACCTACCGCTCTGCTCTCGGAGTCATATTGAGGTAGTCTCTCTAGTAGTCGCGTACTGTACCTTCTTCAGTAAATATTACTAATATTATAAATGCAAAAGTTGTATATTTGTGTATGTTTATTACTAAAATATACATTATATTCAGCCCTTTTTAACGTCCCACTGATGGGGCTGGGGTTCCCTTCAATACGAGGGAGATCAGGTCATAGTCCAACACGCTGACCAAAAGCGTGCAGATTTCACACGTCTTTCGAAAAATTGCTAGGTTCTCTCAAACATGTAGCAATCCTCACGATGTTTTCCTTCACCATAAGACAAGTGGTAATTATAAGTGTTTAACTAAAGTACATATAGACTATAAGTGCAAATAGACGAGGAGGTTTGTAATAAAATTTTCTAAAAGGCGCTCTTAGGAGATAATGTTATTAGTACAAAAGGTACCAGACACACTAAGCGAAGCCAGGGTAAATCGTTACTGGTTTTAATATCAAGATGAAATTTTCATATCAAATTATTATCACCACGAAATAATCTCTTCAGCTATATATGTATATGTAATTTTCAATAATACTTGCAAATCGCCAGACAATTTCAATTTCAACTTGCCAAAAGGACCTTCCCAAAATTCGTCACCAGCTCTCGGGCTAAGTATAATTCATGTCTTTACGTAGCCTATTCTAAGTGAAGATCTGGTTTTGACTTCCAATTCCCCAAATGGGCCACATGATGAATTACCAAATGTTTGTAGATAATTTACTGATTATGCCTTTTCAGTTCAATAAACATTAATTAGACCCAGTTAGGTTAAATAACATTTTCTCTGCCATTAGAGGTCGTAGATTTGATTCCCGCTTGGAGTTAAGACCTAAATAGTAAAAATTCTACAATCATATTCCAGCTTTAACAAATAATATAATAATATACACCAGACTTTCTATTGCTACTTTAATAATGTTAACTTTTCATGCAAATTCATTTATTCTACTCCAGGGTCGGACGACGTTGGCTTTCTTTTGGATCAATGGTTCTGAGTGGATTGTTCAGTTTTTTAGCCACCACTGTTCCACATGGTAAGTTATGTTTGTCAATATGTTAGATCATATAATACTAATGGTACCCGCGGCTTCGCTCGCGCTAAAACTACAAAAAATCTCTAAGAAGGTAGTTTCATACAAACTTTCATCCACTATTTTACCCCCTATTGGATGAATTTCGAAAAATGCTAAAACACGTATTTATTTAATTTTATTGAAGAGCATTAAAAACAAGTTTCAAGTAATTCTGATCATAAATATTTTTTTTTATTGTATAATAACGTGTTTTCCCGTGGGAATTCTATAACCTGCCGCAGTAAAAAAGTGGCCTCAGCTCTCCAGCTATCTCCAAACAAAAAAAACACGCCAATCTGTCTTTCCGTTTCGATGTGACTGAAGGACAAACAAATAAACAAACAAACAGACAAACAAACAAACAAACAAACAAACAAACAAACAAACAAACAAATTATGTGGTCTAGTATGTAGTTTAGTCTTTTTTCATGTACATAATATAGTCTATGTACCTTAAAATTATTTAATAAGCCATTACAGGCAAAAGAAAAAAAAGTAACTCAGTTAATCTATACAGATAACTAAAATTGAAGTTTCTGTTTGTAATGTCAAAATTACAGCTTTTACTAAATGCATATGAAAGTGATACGGTGCTAATAAGAAAAAACTGTTTTTATTTTTTATTTTTGTCTGTGTGTTTGTTCTGGTTAATCTCTAAAACGTCTGGACTGATTTTGACGGGACTTTCACTGGCAGATAGCCGATGTTATAAGGAGTAACTAAGGCTTCTTTTATTGTAGAAAAAGAATCAGGGTTCCGCGCAAAAAAATAGAAGCCATTAAAATTATAAACAAAATCCATTAAAATTATAAAAAAATTATAAATAAAAAATAAAACAACGATATACGAAAAAATAAAACAACGAAATAAATTAACGCTTTATTTAAATAAAGTCTGGCATCAAGCAATCACCCAAACTTAATTAAATCTTAGTGTTCCTAGAATTTTTAGTTTTAATATTCTTCTGTTCTAGGTCTTCCATCAGCATCATTAGCTATCATTGGTCGATTTGCAGTCAATATATCCTTTAACATCGGTATGCAGTATGCTGCAGAACTTCTACCCACAGTCGTACGAGCTCAGGGTCTAGCTTTAATACATATAACAGGATATGTCGCCACTATATTAGTACCATATATAGTTTATTTGGTAAGTAAAAAAATTGAGGCGTACAACCCTTACGCGCGGTTGAAGTAAAACTTCTTTGGCAAATATCGCAATTAAATTAAAACAAATCATTAAATTAAATAAGGCACATTACAATCATATATTTATAGAATATCATATACGGAAAGAATATAATATTATATATTTGTCAGACAATAACAACGGTCACCATGGCAACAGGGCAATGTATTCTATCTCACTCTCTCGCCGGCTTAATCCTATCTATATATTTTTGCGTTTGTCTCTTTTTAGTGTCGCATTTTCGTTTCATCGAGTTTCAAATCACAACGATTCTAAAGATCACTTCAATAAATACAACTTATATCCATATAACTCATTACTATATATTAATATGTCAGAGAAAACAACACTTTACGAGGATTAAAAAGACAGATATCTATACAAAAATCACATGGATATGTTGCCTTTACTTACCCAAATTCAAATTCGATTATATTTTTAGATTTTGTCCGTTATTTTTGTTACCGACGTGTTTTTATTTAAAAAAAAAAATGAAAAAATTGTTTCATTTTACATTGATTGTACTTCATAACAACATTCACTTCATTTAAACGTGTAAACCGAGTTTTCTTAATACTTACAGGCCACAATAGATCCTATAATTCCTCTTCTCATACTCGGAATGATTGGAATTTTCGGTGGCTGTCTTTGCCTTTTTTTACCAGAATCTATGGGAAAAAATATGCCCCAAACCATACAAGATGGGGAAAACTTTGGAAAAGAACAAACATTTTGGGATATGCCTTGTTGTAAAAATAAAAGGTAGGTACTTAAATCATAACATAAATATTTTAACAAAATTTTAAAACGGCTTTCTTCTCTATCGGTGTATAAAATATGTCTCGTTAAAATGGATCAAGCCGTTCCGAAGAAGATCTGCTTAGACCACGACTTCGCTCTTATAAAGACAAAATTATAGATATATCTGTCATTTTAATAACTTTTTTATAATATTATTAATCTTTTTCTAGCTGCGATTATATTTATAAAACACTAATGACTTACCTTTCCTTTGCTCGGGTGACAAATGTCCAACAAAAAATCCCTTTTTTTGGGCCAGGACATTTTACAGAAGGATACAGAAAAACTCGCCAAAGTTTCATCACAATCAGAACAATGGTTGAGGATCGTATAGACGACAAACATACAAACATTCATATTCTATATTTAATATTAGAAGTAAAGTTTATGACATTGTTTGTGACGTTGTAGGGGGTAATCTCTGAATCTACTAAACCGATTTAGATGATATTTGGTAACTAGATAGGTTAAGACCCTGGGAAGGACATTGGATACTTTTTATCCCGGACATCATTCGTCAAGGGGGTGAAAATGGGGATGAAAGTTTGTATCGGGATGAAATGCTAGGGACGAAACCGAGCGAGGCGAGGGTGAGTCGCTAGTTATTTATATAGGTAGAAGGAAGATGTTAGAAATCGGTCGTACAATATTATGTACATATGTATGTACATCTTTTTACAGGAAACCTAGCGTCGCTACTTGTGCAGTAGAAGTAACCAAAGTGTAAAAATGAAAATGTATATAATTTTTATAAGAAACCATATAATCAATAAAGAAATATTTTACACATTGTGTTTTCTTTAAATAAAGTGATATCATCGTACCTAATCCTAAAACTACGTGACTAATGCCCGATTTCACCTACAACCCATAAGCTACCACCTACGTAAGGGATCCCTAGCTTAAAAGTCCCCTAAACTAGCCCCTAAATTAAATTTCGTTTTACGATCGTTTTTAAGCCCATATTTCGAGCACCAAAATTTCGAGGGCCTTTTAATATTTAAGTGACCCCTAACTGCCGGTGAAACAGAAACTATCCCCTAACAGCCCCCTATCCACGTTTAGGGGATCCCTTAAACTTAAGCGACGTTGGTGAAATCGGGCATATTTCAGCTAATTTTTAAGTAAACGACCTATTTCTGTTAATTATGTACTAGCGACTTCATTTTTTCGAGTTTTAATGTTAAAATTTTGAGTTTAACATCTCCAGGTAAATTTTTAAAAAAGATAATTAAATTTCTAAGAAATCTATTGTTAACTATAACGCCGGCGTGTCCGCGGTCGTTGAGGGATTAAGGGGGCTCCCATACAACAAACGTGATTTTTTGCTCGTTTTTGCTCGCTATTGATAACGGCAACAGGTAGACGCTTGAAATATTCACAGAATATTTAATTATATATTCACTTTAAAAAATAAATAATTAAATAAAAATAAAACAAATACATATTTAAGGGGGTTCCCATACAACATACATGATTTTTTTGCCGTTTTTGCCGAACCCTAATTCTTTTCCTAAAATAAAAGTAGCCTAAGTTACTCCTTATAACATCTGCTATCTGCCAGTGAAAGTACCTTCAAAATCTAGGAGATTTTGAAGGTACTTTCACTGGAAGATGGAGAGAGGAATAAAAAGACAGACAGACAAACAAAAATGTAAAAAATTGTGTTTTTCTTATAAGTACCTTAAAAGTACAGATTTCTAAAAAAAATGTAAGTACATATATTTTTTCAATCTAAATAACTTTCGAATCATAAAAAAATCGCTTAACACATATTATAATAGTTCAATCGATTAATATTGAGCTTTTTGATTGACTTCAAAATATTACAAGTGACCTCATCTTTATTGGAAGACGGTTAAAACTTAAAATTATAAAGAATTATTTAAATATTTGAAAATGAAGGTGAATATAAAACAAAAAATCTTATCAATCACAAGTTGTATAAATATTTAGAATCAGACCGCGACCAAATAGTAAAAGAACAAGTGTAAACTGTAAACTATAGTGATGTTAAATTAGATATCGATTACATTATTATTAGTGACCGTTATGTTATATATCTAGGACAGTGGTAGCCCAGTGGTAACGCGCTCGCTTGGGAACCGAGTGCAGCTGGTTCAAGTCCCGGGTCTCGCACCTCTGATATTTTCATATGGAAATCACACTTTCTACATGATTACCACTTGTCTTAACGGTGAAGGAAACATCGTGAAGAAACCTGCATGTCTGAAAGAACTAGCAAGTTTTCGAAAGTCCGCCAACCCGCACTTTGCCAGCGTGGTGGACTATGGCCTGATACCCCTCGTATTGAAGGGAGGCCCACCCCCCAGCGGTATATAGTATATATATATATATATATATATATATATATATATATATATATATATATATATATATATATATATATATATATATATATATAAAAATATTTTTGTATAGTTTTTTAGTAAATAAATATCTGAATAATAAAATTTTATGTACAGATAGATAGATTCTTTTAATACTTAGTCGATAAATCACATCACTTAAATGGTATTTACAAATAAACGGCACGAATTGCAATCAATATATTAAGATTCATAAGCGTTCAGTCCCGAGTAATGCAGTCATGTATAAACTAACAAAATTATTCATATTTTTCAATATAATTACTTTCATAACAACATCATACATGAAAAGAAATGTTGATAAGAGCACTGTAGTAAATAAAGGAGTCTGGTTTAAAAACAAAACTTATAAGGGTTCAAATTTTATATTCCCAACGAGTTCAGATTTAGACAATGTTCTTCAGAATAATTTCGACGCGTTCGAAGAAAATGTACAATCTCCATTTTCATCAAACTATATTGACAGAAGCAAAAGATCTCCAAGTTGTAAGTAACCTGCATTTACTAGTTTATCTAAAAAATATATTAAAAAGAAGTAAGTTTTATAATCTTAGCATACAAATACAGGGATCTAGGTTCTGAATATGATTTTGTTCCTTTCGGTGTCGAGACCCTTGGTCCGTGGGGTCCTAGCGCTATAAGACTTTTTAAGGAAATAGCAAAAAGGTTATACGACGTCACAGGAGACCGAAGAGCTGGCAGCTACTTCGGACAGAGAATTAGTCTAGCTATTCAAAGGGGGAACGCTGCCAGTATCTTCGGAACCTTGCCTAAAGGGACTCCTTTTAATAATATTTTTTAGTTATTATATTATGTATATATACTTAAGGTTTTTTTTTAGTTTAATGTAATTTATAGACTTAAAATATTCAGTAAGTTTTGAAAAAATCTATTTCAGATAATAATAAATAATAATAATAAATATGTTGGTATAATACTTTCTTAGATTTACGCGAATATTTGACATTTTAAATAAAACTATCTTTTCGGATTTTGTCGCGGATTTATTTGGATTTTTGTTTCCCGACGTTTCGAATGCTTTACAGCATCCATGGTCACGGGAGAGACTGAGGTGTTACATGTCTTGAATGTATAGTTGTTACAGACAGCCTACCCACAATTAACAAAATGAAAATTGCACCAATTACATTACAATATTTTTTAAATTTAAACATTTTTATAATTTTAATTATAATTGAATTTTTTCATTTGTAAAAGTATATATTAATAGTGTTGCTTAGTAAGTTGTTTTTAAATAATAGCAAACTAAATTAAAATTATTACCCTTAATTAATTTTAACTTTTTAAATTACACATAGAACAATTATATGGCTTAAATAATTAATACTATATTTGATATTTTTCTTTATGGTTATAAATATAATAATGGCAACACTAAATATAGATTACTAATTAATATTTTAAAATTGTAATAATTATAAAAATAATAGCAAAAATTAAATAAATAATTTTCCATATTCAATTATAATTAAAATTATAAAAATGTTTAAATTTAAAAAATATTGTAATGTAATTGGTGCAATTTTCATTTTGTTAATTGTGGGTAGGCTGTCTGTAACAACTATACATTCAAGACATGTAACACCTCAGTCTCTCCCGTGACCATGGATGCTGTAAAGCATTCGAAACGTCGGGAAACAAAAATCCAAATAAATCCGCGACAAAATCCGAAAAGATAGTTTTATTTAAAAATATGTTGGTACATTAACACACAGCGCTATCTAGTTCCATGGTAAGCTACGAGGCTTGTGTTATGGATACCAGATAGTTGATACACTACACATACCTGAACAAAAATATATGTATAAATTTTTTTAAATACATACATATTATATTTATATTATGTATGTATAAGAATGACCAAACCAAATAACATTTAATCAACGCCAAGATATTGCCTGACAAAAACCACTTAATGAATTCTGGCGATATTTTGTATAATCGTTTAATAAAATTAATAAATATATTATTTCCTATGCAAAAAGACCAAGAGGATGCCATCAGATAGGAACACACTAATTCAAAATTAAAAATGTTTTGTTAAAACTCGCTTTTAATTTCTTTTTGATCAGGGAATTTTTTGATAAAAGTTTCTTAAAACTTACATCACATAAGGGGGCTGGGTTAAAGTTACAATTTACTTTACTGTAATAGTTTAAATAGCTAAAAATATGAAAAAAATATATCATCATAGTGATAACTAGATATAATATAATCTAGATCTAATTATAGAACTGAAATTCCCCTGGTTAAGTCAAGTTTTTGTGGACTTAATAATTCAGAATATGTACGAAAGTGAAGCCACAAACAGTAACTAATATATTTATAAAAAAGCTTCTAATTATACTTTTATTACCGTCTATTAAAATGTTATTTTATATTTCTTTAGATAAATCCAAATCTAGCAAAAGTCGTGATGAGTGCAAAGATAAATCTAAATGTCAGAAACAAAATTCATCATCTCAAATACATTCTAAATTTATATCAACACTAAAACCAGCGTCTGTATTTAACGATTATCCTTTCGAAGTAGCTGTTTTGTTGAGTAATAATAACGATGAAAGTTTAAACTTAGAACGTAATTCTATTAATATTCCTGAGAAAGATGTAAACAGAGTAAAATTGGTAGAACAAAAATCAGACGAAGCTTCTGCAAACATCAAAGATATAAGAAAAGACTTACGTATGAATTCAGGTCTTGAAAAAGAATTAAAACCCGAATCAATTCATTTACCGCTTAATGTGCCCACTAAAGACGATGTTACTAACGTAAATAAAACTTTGATTGTGCCAAAACGTAGCATGAATCAACAAAATTTCGAAAATGAATTGATTAAGAAGATTGAAGAGTTTAATAATACAGACAGTTATAAATTAAAAAACGATAGAAATATATTCGAAAAAGAACCTGTAGCTTGGCATAAGCCACTCCCACCATCCAAAGTTAATATTTACAAAGTTGTTCCTAAACCCACGGAAGATGTTAAAAAAAGGATTAATGAACGCGGTCTTATTAAAGTTTTATCTATGCTGACAAAAACTTTTAAGAAAATAATGAAACAACACAGTGACATAAAGCAAATTCATAACAAATTATACAACTTAAATGATGATTTTATAAAAAATATTGATTTATTGACAAAAAAGTTTGAAGATTTCAATGTAAGATATTCTGAAATAATGAAAGTTAGTCAAAATCTACAAAGAATGGAAGTTAAAATAAGAGATAAAGAATTGAATTATAATAAAAAAGAAAAAGAATTTTCGAAAGAATTAACAAAATTCGAAAATCAACAAAAAAAGTTTCTGGCACAGCAACGCCAGTTCTATAACGTGCAAAAAGTGTTGTTACAACAAAATGAGCAAATAAACATAAAACAAAATTTGATAACTAAAATACAGAGTGAAATTTCTCACAGACAAAATAACTTAGCGAAAGTTTTGAAAAAGGGAAAGCAATTTCATATAGACTATAAGCATTCGGGAACATCTATTTCCAAACCAATACAACCAGTTTTAAATACTAAGGTAGTACCAACACCTTTTACTACCGAATCAGTTAAAATTAACCTTTTTTCTGTTCCAACCGTTAGTCAGTTAAAGGATCAAGATCAACTGATTATGGGTGAAAAGGATTCTCAACCGGTCGATGATTTAATATATAAATATTACTTTAACAATACATTTATAGATGATATAATGAAGAACAAAATTTTAGCTTCATTTATAGCTTCAGAAAGCACATTCAATAATAAAACTAAAAATAAACGAAATGAAGTTAATCTTAATACAACAATACTTTTACCTATTAATAAAACAAAAAGTAAAATTCGAAATCGACGATGGATCAAAAATTTAAAAAAATATCACTTAAAGGAGACAAGACGTAACGAAACAAAGACTCCAACTTTAAGTTCAAAAGTTAAGGATAATTTAGCAAATAATAATAGCAAAGATCCATTTCAGAATATGGCACTAAATTTCTGCAGGGAAATAGGACAAAATGTAAATACTCAAATATTGAATTGGTGTATTGAAAAAATTTTAAGAAGATTGAAAGTAATAGGTGAGTACTGAGTAGTCTTACAATTTACTCTTTGCATTTATGTCTGAACAAACGGTGATGTAGTGGTTACCATGTACAGCTGCACATCTTGAGGTTCAATTCCCGGGTGGGTCCAAATTTAGTTGAATCTTTCTGTTAAAGAATTCTCGGTAACATCTCAGAGTTGGGAAGTTGGCGGTTTTTCAGCACTGAGCCTTGGAGAAAATGTAAAGCCGTCGGTCCTGCGCCTGATCTTTTCCGGTCGTGTCGTACCATCGGAATTTGAGAGTGACAAAAATAGAGTTGTGCACGTTGTGTCTGAGCAAACACTTGTGCACTATAATATCTCCTGCGCAATCACCTTATCAGTGAGATTAGCCGTTTTGACCGATCATCGATTTAAGTAATATTCTCGCAACCGACCATTTGCGTTTTTCGGAGACCTTAAATCTTAGGACACTTTTGCGTGGAATTGGGGAGGCTTTAGTGGACGCCTTGAGATGAATAGATGGATGATTATTTATATAAAATGTCTATTCCAGATTTAAAGAGGCCATCTTCAATTCAAATCAATGAAGTGAAAAAAAAACAAGGACTTGGTAAAAGTACATTACCAAAGCAACCTTTTGTATCAACTACAGCGAGTAAGTTTTTATGTTATATTGTATTGTCATATTATGAAGTTTATTGAAAAATATAGTCTAATAGCTAATTTTATTCTGGCAATAACAGATACATTGAATAAGAAAGTGGACACCGCTACAAGTTCTGCAGTCACAAAACAAACCACATTTAACGTGTTCTTTCCAGGTAAAGAAATATATTACATACTAGTTTTTACATGCAGGTCTCCTTGCGTGGTAGGTACATCGTTAAATGTAATCGTGTAAAATGTCAACCTTTATGTTGCTATCGCAATTTTGAATTTCACTCAATTATATGACCTGGGATTTGAACTCGCTTCACTCGGTTTCCCAAGCGTGCGCGTTACCACTGGGCTACCACTGCAAAAGGAAAAAATCAGGGAAAACATATATGAATAGAATTTACCTATCTATATAAAAAAACCGTCTCCAATTTTTTTTATAATAACATTCAAACTTATCAAAAATTAAAAAAAAAAGAAAATTCGTTGACCAACAAAGTAGAAAAGGGTACCCGACTATTTTGTGTTTGCCTATTTATCATTCCTATAGATACTATGATAAAAACCATAGTAAAGTTAAAAGTACTTAAAAATTTCTTTGTGTACTCGCAATAGTTTGTCTGTAGGCTTAGTTAGCTTTTTTAAATATAAAATCTGTAAAAATATCTTCAATTTTTTCGATATATAAGTTTATCTTTAATCTTTATAATAAATTTAAGCAAAATAAAATTCTGAGTAGAATCTGTACATTAAATATTTTTTGGAAAATCTTATTGAAATAGTCATTATTATCGATACAGAGGCCGAATGTATAGTTTTTAGAATTTTTGTCTGTCTGCCTGTCTATCTATCTGGCAATGCACGAGAAAACCACTCGACAGATTTTGATGAAATTTCGTATGAAATCGCTTAGTTATCCGGGTCCAAATATAGGATAATTTTTACTGCGGGTAAACATCTCATCTCTGAGAAATCTATACTAAACGCTAAAACGTAAATAGAGACGAACCCGAGCGAAGCGAGGGTGAGTCGCTAGTGTCATATATATCTTTAGTCTTTACATTACTGATAAGTTACAATTATTTAATTTGGTGGTTTCAGATAATGATGACCTTGAAAACAAATTAAAAGAGTACGGTAAGTCGGATGTTATCTTTATTATCCTAAAAGTTCGAGACCCGGAATTTGAACCCACTTCACTCGGTTTCCCAAGCGAGCACGCTACCACTGGTTTGAAATTTTACTGCAGGATCATGCGTAATATGAAATATTTGTACCTGAAAGTGACTTGACACATTCATATATTTCATGTCAAAACATATCGACATAAAAAATGCCCACATTGGATGCCTTACAAGACTTAGCATGAGTCATAAAAATAACAACTTCGCGTTCATGCTTGTAATATTTGTAAATATAAATGTTTAGCAGACTTTACTTAAAAGTAATTCATTCATCCTTAAGGATAAAATTTGTAAAGTATATACGACACCCTCACTGCCTCGGTGGTCTAGTGGCTAGCATGTACGGCCGCTGATCCGGAGATCCTGGGTTCGAGTCCCGGGTCGGGCCAAATTTAGTTACTAAGTTTTTCTGTCAAGAAATTCTCAGTAACAGTCCGGAGTTTGAAAGTTGGTGGTGTTTCACCCCCGTGCCTCGGAGAGCACGTAAAGCCGTCGGTCCTGCGCCTTAACTCTCACTGGTTGTGTCGAAGTATCATCCCATCCAACTTTGAGAGTGACAGGAATAGATAGTTGAGAGTGATAGGAATTGTCATTTTCTTTATTGTAAATAAATGTTTTTAGAATTGACACCAGATCCTGAAGGGACAGTGTATTACGACGGCAGTTTGCACTCCAGCGATCTAGGACATAAATGTTGGTGATATTTCAATTTTTCTTTAAAATAACTTTAATTTATGTACTTCATTAACAAGAAAACTTATTAATATATGCTCGATCAAATTTGTTGTTGAGTTTTTTAGACTTCATATCATTCTTTGTTTTTAACTAGCGACTACCAGTAGGTTGTTTCGCCATACACACTTTCATCCCTATTTTCACCCTTTTAAAGGATGATTTCCGGGATAAAAACTATCCTATGTCCTTCCTAGAGTCTCAAACTATCTACTTACCAAATTTCATCTAAATCAGTTCAGTAGTTTTGGAGCTTATTCGGTACAAACCAACAAACAAACAAAAAAAATATATTTCCTCTTTATAATATTAGTATAGATTAATATTTTTCTTCTTCCACTTCTTTAACCTATTTTCCACCTATCTATACATATAATAAACCTGTAGAGGTCGAATATCTGTACATAGAAAAAAAAAATGCTAAAAACCGAGTCAGGGGGGATGTAAGAAGAGAAATAGAACAAATCTAGATTTTTTTTATTTTTTTGTTTCTCTGTCTGTTTATCAGTTTGTACAGGCTAATCTCCGAAACTTGGATAGTTAAAAAACTTTAGTAACTTATACATCTGAGATCACAAAAACTACTAATTGGATGTTAATAAAACTTTACAATAATATAGTTCATACATCAGAATAACAAATAGGCTACTTTTTATCCCGGAAAAATTTACGGTTCCCGTGGGATAGATTTGTTTTTGTTTGCTCTAGTTCTTTCACTAAATGAAAAAGACATGAAAATGTAACTAGAATCAAAATAAAAACATTTATTTGTATATAGTTCTTTATCTTATTATATATATATATATATATATATATATATATATATATATATATATATATATATATAATACGTGTTATTTCAGTTAACGTAGACAGTGAAGGATTTTCCGATATAATGCCAGGACTTGACAGTGATTCGAGGATCCAAGTGGATCCTTTCGCCATAGATCTTCAAGAGCAGAGACGTGCAGAAGTGAGAAAGTGAGTTAGCAATGTAGATAATAGATAGATAGAAATATAGATAATAGATAACAATATTTTTATTGAACAATAAAACACTAAATATTACATACAAAAACAAACATATATATTATATTATTATACAGAATAATCTTAGTTTTTAAAGCTCATTTTAAATTAGGCTGTGTCCACACAAAAGATATGGTAGCCACTGTTGCCGTTCTAGGAGACCTGTATTATTCTACTGTACTTTAAGTTAAGTAGTACTTTAGATCTACATATAATACTTCCTTATTATTATTAGATTTACGCGAATATTTGACATTTTAAATAAAACTATCTTTTCGGATATTTTCGCGAATATATTTTGATTTTTGGTTCCCGACGTTTCGCATTTTTATTTCTTATAGGTATCTTTTTTATTTCGAAACGTTTAGAACTAAAAATCAAAATAAATTCGCGAAAAAATCCGAAAAGATAGTTTTATTTAAAAGATCAGTTCAAATTCAAATTCAAAATATTTTATTCAGCATTAAATTATTACAATTTGTTTACTGAACGTCATGAGTCTACTACCAGTTCGGAAAGAAGAAGCCTCAGTCCTGAGAAGAACTAGCGAAAGTCTATATCTCTTTTGCCTGAGTTTGTTTTCCTTTTGTAAATTATCTCCACATTTAATTCAGCATACCACATAGTGTAATCTAACTAAATATGTAAATAGCATTTATAATGATATAGACGCTTGACTGTTGACGGAAATTTATACATCCCACGATTTTTTTTAATTTTTTTAAATATGTTGGGACATTAACACACAGCACCATCTAGTTCCATAGTAAGCTACGAGGCTTGTGTTATAGATACCAGATAGCTGATATACTACACGTATATAACTTTAAATACATACATATTATAAATATAAACACCCATGACTGGAGTACAAACATTCATGCTCATCACACAAGTAAATGTCCCCCAGCGGGACTCGAACCCGTGACAGCTGGCACAGCAAGTAGAGTTACTACAAACTGAGCCAAACGTGTCGTCAAATTTATTTTTGAGTCTGAACAATGCCTTAGATTGATGAGGAGAGTGGTGTGATGACTGGTACCTAGGACTTACTTAATTATTATTTAGTTTTTAGTACATTATCCATATTATTATTATTTTTCTTTTCAATAAAACCGTTTAACTTAAAAAATACAATTTATTTCTTGTTCAGAATCAACGCAAGGATAATGAAGATGAAGATGGGATAATTTTACCAATAACTTTTAAAAATATTTAAATTAAATGTATACCTAATTGAACAATAACTTATTTATAATAAATTAAATTATAGAATAATAATTGTTTTTTTTTTTTTTAATTCTATACTAAGAATGTGCAATTTTGACTATGACCAGATAACGGTCACGCGTAAATTAAAACTGTGAACATACTTTCTTTTTAAAATAGTATGATGGATATGTTTCTTAGTTCAATCATTAATTTTTGTATGACAAAACTAGCAGAATCCGCGGCTACGCCAGCGTTCAACCAACCAAAAAAACTTTTTGGTTTTATGTGATACATATAGCGACTCATCGTTGTGTATTTATATAATATTGTTCATACAAAAATACTAACATCGCGAATAAAATGGAGATGGTGGTAGGAGGGTGAAAAATACTTTACGACCTATTCTCATACCTACCAAATATAAAAAAAAAACATTATAAAAACTTTAACAAATAAAATAAAAACCGACTTCCAGGCTCTAAAATGTAAGAAATAACTAAACGGGGGTTTTCAATTAGAATAGATATCTATCAGATATTTTCGAAGTCGGTGCAACTCTCACTGGTCGTGTCGAGTGGTCGTCCCACCGGAGTATGAGAGTGACAGGAATAGAGAGTGCACGTTGTGTCTGCGCGTACACTTGTGCGCTATAATATCTCCTGCGCAGTTGGCTAGTCTCAATGAGATTGGCCGTAATATATGTACTTATATCGAATTGTCTTTTCGTCCGATATATTATATGATGAATAAGAAAATATTATTCATTCGATTATTATCATTTTCTGTATTTTAAAAAACAAACAACCACAATCTATCCTGTTATAAAGTGTTTTACACTTAAAAACCTTTAACGGCAGGATGTTTTGAATTGATTGAGTCTTGTTTACTTTCATTATGTTGTATAATTTCAATTCTTACAATCAATTTTCAATCTATACATATAATAAAATTGTAACTAAGCCGAATCTGTACATTAAATATTTTTTTGAAAAATCTTATTGAAACATACATTATTATCGATACAGAGGCCGAATCTAGTTTTTAGAATTTTTGTCTGTCTGTCTGTCTGTTACCGCATCACAGAAAAACCACTGGAGGGATTTTGATGAAATTTGGTATGGGGATAGCTGATTATCCGGGTCAACACATAGGATACTTTTGACCGCGGGAAAATATCTCATTTCTGAGAAAAAATACAAAAACTGCATTGTAAGAGTATACTAATATAACCTAAGAATTTGGGTTATGGTCATCCGAACGCGGGCGGAGCCGCGGGCCATGCTAGTATGAAATAATGATCTTAATCTTTTATTTATTCATTCAGAAGCAAAAGCCTTAACTAAATGTCTGTGAAGCTATTGAAGATCATTTTTATCGATCTCTGAGTTATTTGGAGACTACGTTTGTTTTGGCTCCTTGTTAAGTTAAACTAAATAAAAAAGAAGGGACTTAATTATTATTTTTATATATCGAAAAATACTTTATTTACAATAAAGAAAATTACAAATATAATTTAAAATGAAAAATATTTATTTATAGTTTATTGTATATTAGTAACGTTAATTTTCAAATCTTCAAAATCCTTATCGGGCGCAATTTTGTAACCGCTATCTACTTCATCCATGAAGAATTTTGACTCATTAGACATTCGTCTGGCGATATTTTTCAACGCTTTCTGATGTTTAACTTCGTTTTGTTTGATATTTGCTTTAACTTTGTTATAATCGGAAGTTGGGAGTAAGTCATTTGCTATCGGAGTTTTATGTTTTTTATCAAGCATAAGTTGCTCTGTATTATTTTTGCTTTTGGATTGTTTATAATCAAAATTTTGAGGAGATTTCCAATCGTTATGTAAGCTTGGTTTTATCATAGGTGTACTGTTTTGTTTATTTAGCTCAACTTTATTAGAAAAGTTTTGTAGGAAAGCTGTTAATATTTGGGTATTAATATCTATTTTCTTAAGAATGTCGTATGTAATTTTTTCATTGGATTTTATTGTGTTTATTATTTCTGATTTGTTATCAAGTGTTCCTGTGTTAGGTTTGGTAACAGAGATGTAGGTTTCTTGAAGTTTTTTAATAGATTCCAGGACTTCATTCATCTTTTTGTCGTAATTATCCGTTTTTAGGTCATCGTGCGAAACGTCTATTATTTTATGAACATTACTTTTACTATTCGCTTTGATCATTTGTTCTAAATGTTGACTTTCACGTAACAAACTTTCCAGCTGTTGGTCAACTCTCTTTTTGTGTAGCTGCAATAAGGTATTAATTTGTTTTCCTTGATTTTTTAGTTCATCTGTTAACGGTTTAGTATCATTTTTTTTCAACACCTCTAAAGATTTATTTAATTTTTCAATTTTAGATATTTGTGAAACATTAAGTACAGAAAAATATCGTAAGCCATCCTCATCAAAACTTTTATTTACACTTGTGTAAATTTCTTTAAAACCCTCATCTATGTTCGTTTTATTTTTCGGATATAACTTAACTGTTACTTTAAATTTAGATTGTGAAGCTGGGGGCATTATAGCGTTAAATATTTCGTCGATTTTAGGCTCATGTACGTCATCAAATGTGGTTGTTTCAACGTCGTTAACATTTTTATCGTTACTTTTTGGTAATATTCTATAAGATCTGTCATTTTTAAAATATCTAGTTTCATCCATTACTTCTTCATTTGATCTTTCGTCTATAAATATATGTGGATATTTTGACATTAACCCATACTGATTAATTTTTTTGCTATATAAATTATCAGAGTACACTGGAAGTATATTGCTTGGTTCATCACCGAAAGGAAAATATTCATCAAAGTTATTTTTCTTTTTATTTTCTAATAAAATTTCTGGTCTTTCAATTCCCCTAATGTCAGAATATGTATTTTCTTTAGAGACTAAAAATATATTTTCATCTGAGTTTCTAACAGCAACACGTGATGGATCTTTCGCAATGATTCGTATTTTATCTATCTGCCGTTTATTACGCTTATTCTTCAAAAATATTTTCTTTTTTGCCATTGCATTTGTATTAAGGTATCTGCTAAGTTTAATTTTGGACTTTATATTTGATACTTTTTTCACACTTACTGATCTTTTATTTTTATTCATTTCTTTTTTGTTTGATATTTCTAAAGAATTCAACTTGCTATTTAAACCATTATTTTCTACTCTTAAGTTAATTTTTTTTGATACAATATTTATTTTCTTAAAGTACAAATCATTAAAAGTATCGAGACTTTTGCTATTATTTAAAAGTTTCTTTTGATTTTTATGAAAAACATTGAAATATTTTTTAAAAGGCAAAGCGTTATTTTTTAAAATTGTATAAAAGGAATAGTATCCAGGTTTAACTTCTGTTATAGGTTTTGTTTTAAGATTTTTCACGTCCCTTTTTTTAATGTCGTGCTTTTCTTCAGCAATATTATTAATTTCATTTAATCCTGATTCATTACTAACATCTTGATCGTAAGGTCGACGATATTCTTTTATAAGATTTTCTAGGCCATTAAATATCTTCATACTTTCTTTGTCTGGTGGTTCTCCTAGATATTGGTTTATTCCTATTGAAAAACCTGTACCATCAATATTTTTTAAAAAAAGGGTCACATTACCAGAGTCTGCATATGTTGATGTGACATTGTTATTTTCACCTGTCACATCAGCATTTAATGGTTTTTGAAATCTTTGTGGAATTCCATTTTGTGTGACACTGTCATAATTCACATTAAGTTCTTTCATTTCTGCTGAATTTATCGATTTTGAATATGACAAAAATCGAGGACCTTGGATCATTTTGTTCCAAGAGCCACCAAACTTATTAAATATATACTTATGCTTATCCAAAGTTTTGTCTATTGGATCTACTTCTCGTTCTTCAATAGCTTCGAATGGTGGAGATTTATTTATCGGAAAAGTGTGACTATCTTTATCGATTGGATCTTGAAACCTCTGCTTAAATGTATCTTGATCAGGATTCTTATCATTTTCTTTATTATCAGAACGTAATGCCTTTTGAATCTTTTCTATAAGAGATCTAACAAGCTTCTTTTTTTTCTCTCCTATGATACCATTTTTGTCAAAATGTGTTTCTATTTCTATGTACAAATCATCGTCATCTTTATTAGATTTACTGGTTGTCGGTATTGATGTTGGTTTGTCATTCAAGTACCGTATTTTAATCTGTCGTTTTAAGCGTTTCCTATTAAAACTTCCAATTTCTGTACTTTTTTCTAATTTATAGTGAAGAGAAGGATGTGATTCCAAATATTGTTCTATGACTTTATTTAATAAGTTATCTATGCGTATATTAGCTATATGTCCTGATTTCTTTGTTTTTAGGGTATCTTGATTTTTTTCAATATTAGTAACGATTAGTTCAACATCGTTATTTGGGTTTTTAGGTTCTTGTTTTGAAAGCAATTGATCATCATTCATTTGCCTTATTTTAACTGATTTGCCGTTGTATATTAATCTGATCAGTCCCTCTATGTTTTCTCCTTCCCTAAAAATGTTCAACGTTAAGATTAATCACTACAGCATCGTTAGCGCCATTGAATTATTTAACTTGTATTGCATTGTATTCGTTTGAATTATCAGTATGTACTATCAATGTTTTATTCAGATACTTACGTGCTATTTAGTATTTGATATTTGTCATCAGGTCCACTTATTTCGATAACGGTCTTAATAAGCAGTTTTTGATCTACAATTTTTATAATAAATATTAGATGTAAAAAGTAAAAATTTACATATTTTATGTTAAAATTCTTTACCTTTATCTTGTACATTGCTATCGGTTGTATTTTGCATCTCAAGGGTCTGTAGATAAGCAATTTCATTTTTTAACTTTTTACATTTAATTATTTCTTCAAAGAATTTGTGTTCTTCATTGTACTTCATATTACTTGATTCCTTGGAGTTAACGATTGCCTCTAACATGTTGACATACTTATCTATAATAAATATATAAAAACTTATATTATGTCTGTTATTTTATATTTAAAAATAAAAGTAGTAGCCTCATTTCATATCTCAAAATATACCAGCATACTAAATAGTCCGAAAAAAAATTATATTTTACTATAAATGTTGTGAGCAACGCCAACGTTATTTATATGTGCAACAAAATGAAAATGTCTGTCAGTACCTATTCCTCGTTTTTCAGAATTACTATTAATTTTTTTTATAACATCATGAACTTTATTATAAACTTGATTTAAATCCTTATGTCCAATTATTCCTTGTAACAATATATTGTGCATAGCAAAATGTAACAAATCTTCACTCTTGACTTCAAATTTCTCTTTACTCCTTAATACAGTTTCTTCGCCAACTTTTGTTGCTTTTGCTGTAATAGTATCTTCTTTAACTGTTTCTTCTTTATCCAATTCTTCTAGAAGACTTTGTAATCGACTAGTAAGAACTTTCTTGTATGCAGAATTCTTTACTTTTTGTAAACTATCTGATTCTAAAAATGGAACAATACTGATTTTATTATTTGTACAAAAAGAAATTGACAAAAATAAGAAATAATTAACGTCAAAAATACCTAAAAATTGATGTAAAAATGAATATATTATAAAACACAGATTATATTATTATTAAAAATTCTATTGCTGGGTGTCTAATGCTAAACTTATCGTGGATAGTTTACCTATCGATCTCCTTGTTCTATATGACGGATCTTCACTGTCCTCATTGTTGTCATCAAAATCTAAAGCCTTGACTCTATCGACTTCATTATTAATTAATATTTCTGGTCTGGCTGCTGGTTCAAGTATCAAGTTTGGAGGTACACCTACAATTATTTTATGAATTATTTAACGTGATTATTGACAATTGTATCTTTTTGTTTCATTAAAATGAGCATATTCTTATATTCTGTTATATTGATTGTCTAGAAAGTGAACACGAATACAACATTTAAATCTACAAATAGGAATTGAAAGTAGTAATTAGAATTGAAATACTTTAGGCAAAGGCTACTTTTAAATATTTTTATCTTTTTTAATTTATCATTTTTTTACCTGTTGTAAAAGAAACAGAAAAAGACTGTTCCTCATTTTGTTCTCCGTTTCTATCATAAAAATTAAAGCAATAGGTACTTACACTAAAAATAAATGAAAAAAGTACAACTTTTAACTAAAAACCTGCTTTTGCTATTAAAATTGCTTCTTACATTACTTCTAAGATCTACTATATATAATAAATAGCGACTCACCCAAACTTTCATCCCTATTTCACCCCTTTAAGGGATGATTTCCGGGATAAAAAGTATCCTATATCCTTCCCAGGGTCTTAAACTATCTTCTTACCATATTTCATATAAATCGGTTCAGTAGATCCAGAAATTATCCCCTACAACGTCACAAACTCACAATTCACAAACTTTACCTCTTTATAATTTACTATAGACTAACGGCTCACCCTCGCTTCACTAGGGTTAGTTCTTAGGCACGTTTTATGGGATAGAATATATATAATATGATATATATATTCTATCCTTATTATATGACATATATAGCCTTCCTAAATAAACGGGCTATCTAATGCAAAAGGAATCTTTCAAATTAGATTAGTAGTTCCTGAGATTAGCGCGTTTAAACAAACTCTACCTCTTTATAATAATAGTACAGGTTTAATTTTTGTACATCCAATAAGTTGACTGAGAAAAAATCTCCTCTGAGACTATATATCTGCCTTTAAGTGCGATATAAATGTAAGAGAATTAAATTAAAAAAAAATATAACTTACTTTTTTTATAATTTAAAACCCCATCTAAGTCAATAAACACATTAGTCAGGATCGTAGTGAATGTTAACGCTATACCCAAAAGCATTAAGCAGAACACCCTGTAGAATAGGACATCGTAATCGCATCGTGACATACAGAAGGATACTTAATTTTTAATTATTAACACTAATTTTATATACATATAAACGTTGAATTTCAAGTAGAAGTGAGTATCACGTTTTGAAACTTAACAAGTAGAGAATTTCAAAATGAATGTTTTGTAAACACGCATTAAAGTACAAAGGATATGACTGTTTCACGTATCGTTTCTTTTTCATATTGGCGATATTTTTTTTAATTTTTCAATAAAAGCTATTAAAAAAAAGATATGAAAAACTTTTTTGGCGCGATGAGATATATTGATTTCTTCTGACACACACGCGAAGTTCTTGGGATCGATTTCCGGACGCGGCAATTTTTCTGTTATCGGTTATTGGTAATTTAGAACATTATCTATACATATAATAAAATTGTAACTTAGCCGAATCTGTACATACATTAAATATTTTTTTGAAAACTTATTGAAGTAGATATTTTTATCAATACAGAGGCCGAATCTATAGTTTTTAGAATTTTTGTCTGTATGTCTGTCTGTTACCGCTTCACGGAAAAACCACTGGAGGGATTTTGATGAAATTTGGTATGATGATAGCTGGTTATCTCGGTCAACATATAGGATACTTTTTACTGCGGGAAAATATCTCATTTCTGAGAAAAAATACAAAAACTGGATTGTAAGAAAGAGTATACTAATATGTAAAACCTAAGAATTTGGTTTTTGGTCATCTGAACCCGGGCGGAACCGCGGGAAATGCTAGTATTATAATATAGCTAAAATAAAACTGTAATTGAGTTTTGTCAGTAGCGATTAATAAGTTTTGGAAAGAGCATATCTAGTGATGATTTTTTGTATAAAATTAGTAATAGCGCTACTTTTTGGCTTTATGTTGAGGGTAACTTAGTATTTTCCTTAAATTTGTTTCACTTATTATGTTAAAGTTTATCTATGTATGTATATCCATCCATACTAATATTATAAATGTGAAAGTGTGTTTGTTTGTTTGTCTTTCTTTCACGTCGAAACGGCTTGGCGGATTGGCGTGATTTTCTGTGTGAAGTTAGTTGGAGGGCTGGAGAGTGACATAGACTACTTTTTACCGCGTGAGATTATCTCTTTCCCACGGGAAAACACGTAACAATACAATCCAAAAAATATTTATGATCAGAATTACTTGAAACTTGGTATTAATACTCTGCAATACAATTAATTAAATACGTGTTTTAGCATTTTTCAAAATTCATCTCATAAGGGTGTAAAATAAGGGATGAAAATTTGTATGAAACCTACCTTTTTAGAGTTTTCTTTGTAGTTTCAGCGCGAACGAAGCCGCAGGTTCTGCTAGTATTATATATATATATTACAACTCCGAATTATCATCATCATTTGCCTTTCAGATTTTAGTTTTTAGCATTGTATGGTTATTGGTTGTTCTAGACATTTCCATGTGCAATTGAATTCTGGAGGGGCAAGAACGACCAGGACCAGAACACATGGACTAGATGGACGGTTGTCACTTTCGTGCCGTTTAGCTTTGATATTATTGGCAAGCTTGTGTGAAAAGAACTAATGCTCAAAAAATACAAAAGAATACAGTATTATTATTCATATTTTCTTCTCAAAAATTGTTCATTAATTTAACTAATATATATATATATATATATATATATATATATATATATATATATATATATAGCTATCTGTATGGCAAAATCGAGAACAATGGCATAAACAGCTTAACACACTACTATTTTGGACATCGACATTTATTTTCGCGGACTATATAAATCTTTAATCTGTGGAACGATACTATTCTTTTCAAGATTTATATTTAAAGGCAAATACCAAACAAGAATAAATATCTATACTAATATTATAGAGAAAAAGTTTGTGAGTTTGTGACGTTGTAGGGGGTAATCTCTAGATCTACTGAACCGATTTAGATGAAATTTGGTAAGAGGATAGTTTGAGACCTTGGGAAGGACATAGGATACTTTTTATCCCGGAAATCGTCCCTTAAGGGGGTGAAAACGGCGATGAAAGTTTGTATGGGGAATCAACCTAGGGACGAACCCGAGCGAAGCGAGGATGAGTCTCTAGTATAATATATATAAATAAAACAAATAATTGATTTTTAAATATATTTCAGTAATCAAAATATAATAATAGGCTTACATTGTAATAGTTACAAATCGTATTTCATGGCGTGACTAATGGAAACCAAAAAAGCAAAAAAAAATATATACCATACAAAAACTCAGCAAAACGGAATATTGGGGCCAAAAAAAAAACAATATTTACAAGCCAACAAATTACAATTCCCATACATTATCATATTTTTACATGAATCAGTGCATTTATTCACATGTGTGAAACTTCCCTTATTTTTAACAATAAATTAAATGAAAAACAACATAGCCTTAAAGCTATCGTGAAAATTACTTAACGTATTGTGCATTAAATACTTTTAAAATAATTTTTTTTTTAGTTACAAACACCGTGTATTGGCGGTGTGGGGGAAATATCGTGGGGAAAAAGTGCGTTTTTAACCCACCACGCTAAAAGTTATAGTACATTTAGATATACCACAAGCTTTAAACCCACCATTCCGGCCAAGAACGGTCGATTGCATCTAAACATTTAAAAATTACCATCTTCCAAAAACGTCGTTACTTATAAAATATCGTATAATATATCATAAATTATTCGCTATTTATGTACAATATGATTTCAGCTAACATAATTTAAGTTTGTAGGCAAGCATCTTAACAGCTATCGAAAAGTTAGAAAAAAAAAATAAAAAAAAAAAGTTATCACAAAAAAAAATTGTCGGAAAAACAAAAACACGTCAGGAACTCGATTATATGTACATTTTTTTTAAATATAATTAAGTTTTTTTTTAATATATATCACAAATAAAATTCCACATTATTTATTTATTATGAGCAATACATTAACTACTATTGGTCAGGATTCATGTAATAGGTCTCGCGTGAAGCGTTAGAAAAGAAGCGAAAATTGAAACAAAATGGCCGATTTAGGAATTGTGACGTCACTTATTTAGAGAAGCTATCCCTCGGGATTAGACTATCCCCCGGGATTAGTAATTAATTTATAGTCCATGGTCCGATGTTAATAATGTATGTTATTTCTTGCTCGAGTAAGAAAAAAGTGTTTTGTTTTATGGTTATATTAGAAAAATATCATTAAAATATTTATTTTATCAATCACAAGCAAAAAAAAAGACTAAGCAATTGTAATATTTTTTTCGTCAATTAAATATGCACACTAATAATTTTACGTATGTATGTGTTATATACTAATATTATAACATGATTATTTGTTCATCTGTTTGTTTGAAAAAAAAATATTATAAAATTTAGTATGAGAATACCTTAACTTCTATGATACTTCTTAAAGTAAAATAAAAAAAAGCACACAAGTAAAACCGAGGCGAATAACTAGTTCAAAATAAATTAATATACTATAGGATCTAAATAAAAATATCATTCTGATACATAAATTGCAAACACTCTCACTTATGACGTCACAATTCATAGAAAAACAATATGAAAGATATAATATAGAACAACGTAAAAGTACTTAAAAATTACCCAAAAAAACTGTTAACTAAAAACTAATTGTATATAAAACGATTTCGTAGATGAGAGGTTTCGCTGCAAAATTTTGATTTTACAACGTATAAAGTATATATAATTACAATACATAATAATTTTATTTATTAAGTAATCTGTATGTATGTATGTACGTATTTAAATGATATATTCAATTCAATTCTCTTGTTAATGGCTTCAAAGCGTGCCAGTTGAGCACACATTACTTCGAAATTAAATATATAGACATTTTTTATTCTGACAATGAGATGTTAAGTTGTTAATATTAAGGCCTTTTGAAGGTTCGTTCTTATCAGAATTATTATATATATATATATATATATATATATATATATATATATATATAAACTTATAAAACAGAGATAATTCTTAGAAAATCGCAAAACCTCCCATTAAAAAAAAATATATAATATCATCATCAGTACACAGACAAAAAATGCACGCAAATAATGAAAAAAAAAAACGCAAACTGGACGTTCAATAAAAACGCTGAGCATAATTTCTCTACATTTTAATCTATCTATTTAATTTAGCCTTACATTTAATCTGTAGCATACCGTACAAATGTATACTTGAAAAGCGTTTTTTTTTCTATAAATAATATACAAATACGTACATCCCAAAAAATCCCCAAAAAAAATGGTCGTATCGCGTCATTTTTTCATATTTTTTCGGGATCCTTTAACGACTAATTTAAAAAAAATACAATAAGTAACTTTTAAAAATGCATATCTTTTATCTTTTCCAATCTTACGCCATCTTAATATTTACATATTGATCACTTTATTTCGTTTCTTTTTAACTCTGTTTTAGTTCCCGACTTACCTAAAATTATTATATATAGGAATATTTTTAAGACAATCAATAAGCGAGTACAAAAATGAACCTTATATCGTTATGCGAAGGTTGAGATTTGTACACGCGGATATTGTACACAAAACACCATAATAATTTAAAAAGTGTAACCGTTTTGTTGACGTCGAAAATAGTATAAACTTTTTTTTATTTTTTTTTCAACCAAAGTCACTGGTTTGCAAAGAAAAAAAATATGCTAAATGCTAATCTAAAACGAACGTTTACATCAAAACGGTCATTATAATAAATATTATTAGTACATAAAGTAACCTACAAAAATGAAAAAAAGCTGCCAAAAAACCTCCCGAAATGTCACTTGTATCACATTCAAAGCCATATTTTTTGTAAATATTCTAATTTTTAGCCCCCCTGTCTCAAATTTCAACGATTTTTTTTTGAAGAAAAATAGGGTCAGATTTGGTTATAACATTCCCAAATATGTTTTATGTTTTGAGCAAACTATGTCATTTTTGATGTGAAGACGCTTATGTCAGATTTAAAAATATCATTTTCTTTATATTAATTCAATTCAAATCTCTTAAATACATAAGTATACGAATAAAAACATGAATAATTTGAATAATATTTAAAAGGTAGTAAACACACTAAGCCACCTTATTATATATTATTATTTTATCTAAAAAAATGTTTTTAAATATATGAATTGAAAAATTTACTCCATAATATTTATTTTTTTCAAAATAGTAAACTATAATCAAAGATGGCAAGATATTGACATGGCATGGCATAAGCATGATTTTGGCATAAAAAAGATAACTTTCTCCTATTCATATGAGAAAAAACATTTTTCCAATAAAAAAAATTACAATGAAACTTATTAAAATAACCCTAAAATGTATCAATCTAACACAGCAATCTTCATGACGTCAATATTAGACAAAAAAAAAACAATTAATTTGCTAATTAATAATCCTGAAAAAACCATATTAAAAAAAAAACGGGTGACCATGTTTTAATACCAAAAATTATTTCCATATCAGGAGACATACACTGGCATACTATTGACAAGTAATGAAAAACAAAAATTGCGATTCCAACGAAAAAAACGCTATAGTACAAAAAAAATAACCTGTCAATCTAACACAGCAGTCTTCCTATAGCTCAACGTTGATCAACGCTTCGACCGCATCAACCGTATCAACCGTGTCAACCTATCAATCATATCATCTGAGCGCGAGTAGTGCGAGGGAGAGTGCAAGCAACGCCGCGGGCAAGAGACGATGCGCGACACTGTTGAATTGGCTGCTTTGTTCACATGTACCTATAAAATGAGGGAGAAAAAATATTATTATATAGAACAGAGAAAACTAAGAAATTGTTATATTAAATAAATTTTTGTTAATTTTTTTTAGCAGTTTGCAGTAGATTGCTGAGCGGACGAACGGATTTCGATAAAATTTATAACACTGATAGACTATGATCTGAAGTATCACATAGGCTACCGTTAGGTATTTTATTATTTATAACTAGCGGCTCAGCCTTTAGGAAAACAAAAACAATTGTGTTATTCCAGACTATAATCTATCTCTGTGCTAAATTTCATCGAGATCCCTTCAGCCGTTCTGGCGTAAAAGAGTAACAAACATCCATACTCACAACTTTCACATTTATAATATTAATACGGATAAACCAATGCACTCACCATTACTAGTAAGATTGTACGCCTTGTCCCCATGTCGCCCTGGTACCGCGGCGCGGTCACACGCGCGTCCCACAGCGCTTAGTGAAACAGACCCGCCACCACCTCCCGTCTCTGAAAACCATTATTAATCGTTATCAACCATTATCAATCTATCAACCAAAGTATTGGCAATTGATAAATCAACGATCAATAATAATTTTTTAGTTTAATTAGCATTGCCCGGGCCCCGCCCGCGTTCATATGTCTTAAAAACAAATTCTTAGATTTTACATATTAGTATACTCTTACATTGCAGTTTTTGTATTTTTTCTCAGAAATGAGATATTCTCCCGCGGTGAAAAGTATCCTATATGTTGACCCGGATAACCAGCTATTATTACATCAATTTCATCAAAATCTGTGCAGTGGTTTTCTCGTCATGCGGTAACAGACAGACAGAAAGACAGACGAAAATTCTAAAAACTATAGATTCGGCCTCTGTATCGATAATAATGTTTATTTCAATAAGATTTTCCAAAAAATATTTAATGTACAGATTCGGCTTAGTTACAATTTTATTACATGTACAGATTATTATTATTTAGAAAAAAATCATAGTGTTGCAAAACTGACCATTATGTCTGGTGTACATAAAGCAGAAAGTCCTGTGCTGGTTTGAAGTGCGAGCCTGCGGGGCTGCTATGAGGAAACCTCGTGAGCCTTCACGCCAACTTCCATAACACTTGTAGACTGAAAAGAAAAATATTAATAAATAATAAATACACAGCGATTTAATGTTATACCACAGTCTAACTAATATATAGAGTGATCTAACAAAGGTGTCTGTCTAGACAGGGAAATAGTGCGTAGGGAAACGCGAGGGCGCTCCCGACTGGCATACTTACTTTTGTATGAGAGTCGGGAGCGGCTTTAGGGGTTTTGAGGCTAGAATGAGGGGTGCCAAAAGACGGCACTAGATGGCAGAGCTTTAATTGCGAAGACATTTGCCATAAAAATTAGGAGATTGATACACACGCAACGGCTAATCAAAAATAAATAAACACACACGAATGGGGATCATTCAACCCTTTATACGTCCCACTTGTGGGCACGTGATTCTCTTCACTACGAGGGGGATCAGATCATAGTCCACCACGCTGAAAAAGTGCTGATTGGCGGACTTTTCCTCTTTAGAACAAGTGCTACGTTCTCTCAGACGTACAGGTTTCCTCACACGAATAGATATATAATATAAGTGAAGAGTTTGTTTGTCTTTCTGTTTGAATGCACATTAACTGGAACTACCAGTTGGATTTTAAAAAGGCATTCTTTTGGCAAATCTTTTGCTGGTAAATTTGCTGGTAGGTTTTTTTGCGCCAAGAACATTCGCAGACGTATACAAAATAACCCGCCAGTTTTATCACAATCGAAAAATCTATTCCATACTAACCGTTAATATAAATATTTTATTAAGATAGTTATTTCTTACCCGTACTAGTGCAGGCGGATTTGAACTCTATAGTGTCTTGGGAGTGTCCGCAACCGATGCTCGCACTCTCGTAATCTCCGGACACACATTCCGCCGCTGTTTCGACATCGGAATCACCTGAAAAAATAAAAAAAAATATTTAAATAATCTTACTAATAATATGAATGTGAAAGTTTATATGGATGGAGGTTTGTTACTCTTTCACGCCAGATGGGTTGAACGGATCTGGATGAAATTTGGCACAGAGATAGATTATAGTCTGGGATAGCACATAAGCTATTTTTAATCCCGAATGTACGGTTCCCGTGGGATAATTTGTTTTTTATTTTCTAGGGACGAAACCGAGCGAAGCGAGGATTAGTTGCTAGTAATAAATCTTATAAACTAAGGACGTACCCCAGCAAGGCAAATCTAGTTCCTACATATACCCACCATTGCCTAGTTGTTGCCGCCGACGTCGTCTGTCTGCTAGTGAATTCAACACGCTGTATCGCCCAGCGATGGGACACGGCATGGGCGTGGGCGTAGTGGCTGTGGACATATTGAAGTTAATATTAATTATATGTACACATTATCTGCTTACAAAAAACGAAAAAGTTAGTAAATTAAAAAAAATCTATATAAAAAAATTACATACTGTTCATCAGTAAACGCATCATTTGAGAAGGGCTGGACTGGACATTGGGTAATCATTTTTAATATGTTAGTAATATTTTAAATAAAACTATCTTTTCGGATTTTTTCGAAAATTTATTTTGATTTTTGGGAACCAAAAATCCGAAATGATAGTTTTATTTAAAATGTCAAGTATTCGCGTAAATCTAAGAAAGTATTATGTTCGTAATAGTAATAGCAAAAAATTTTACAGTACACATGTGTACCTACTCATTATATACAATGTGCACTATCTATTCCTTTCACTGTAAAACTCCGGTGGCCTATTGTCAGTGGGAGTGTCATACCACCAACTTCTCAACTCCAGACTGTTACTGAGAATTACTCCACAAAAAAACTCAATAACTGAATTTGGCTCGACCTGGGACTCGAACCGAGGACCTCCGGCTGCAATCTTACATGCTAGCCATTAGACCACCGAGAAAGTTACCACGATACTCACTTATAAGAGTCACAAAAGTAGGGTTGGCAGATTCAGAGCACGCGTCCTGCGGTTGCTCCCAAAGCTCCGCACCTTGTTGCAATTCCAGAACATTCCCCTCGCGATGGTAAAACTTGAGGCACACGTGACCCGACATGCTGGAAGAAGAGCACAAAATCAATACACTTTAAAAACATTTTAAACTAGCGACTCACCCTCGCTTCGCTTCGCTCGGGTTAATCCCTAGGGACTTTTTAATTTTTTTTCATGTCACTATGTCATGTATTTTCTATGTCACTCCCTGTAACATCATCTATCTTCCAGTGAAAGTCCCGTGAAAATCAGTCCAGCCGTTTCAGAGATTATCCAGAACAAACAAACAGACAGAGAGACAGACAGACAAAAATTAAAAAAATGTGTTTTTCTTATAAGTACCATATTAATTTCATATGCATTCAGTAAAACGCTGTTATTTTGACATCATAAATAAACACTTCAATTTTATTTATCTATATAGATAATCAAATTTAAATTATTAATCGAACAACTATGGCAAATTCTTTGATTTTTTTTGGGTTTGGACGAAAATTGAAATAACAATAAGACATGATGGAACACACAGACTTCTGTCGGGTTACTTGAGACGCTAATGAATCGCCACTACTTTAAATATTTTTAAATAATCTTTAAATTCAATATTATACCTAAAATTAATTAATTTTCAATATTATGGTAATACACACATTATACTAACGTCGTCCTGACACACTATTCATTTGGACAAGATATACTATAACGCAGTGAGTATGAGAGAGAGCGAACACACTACGTGTACTCTCTCTTTCACTCCTTCAGTCAGGTTTCGAAACTCCTGACATATCACACAGAACTCAGGAGTCAATGACAAATATTCTTAATACGAGCTTTTACTGACAATTTCTTAGCGAATTTTAACTAAAGTTAACCCGACACGGGACTCGAACCTGAGATTTTAAAATCAAACATTACAATTAATGCTTCAATCATTTTACAATCAGCAATTCACCCATACTTATTGAAAAAAAATAAAGATCTCTTATTCCACTAACCATTGTTCTAAAAATAGAAGAAAGTAGAAATAAAATAGAGAAGGAATAATAGAAAAAAGAGACAAACTTACCATCCTTTAGTGACGTGCGCCACCAATTTAATATGTTTATTATCTTTCTGTTCAAGAATCGAGTGACACACGAGACGTTTCTCTTCGAAGGAACCATCTGTGTTCATAATCTATGGGCAAAAACAAAAACAATTAAGCAAAAAAAAATGAAACACATTTTCCAGTTTTTTTAGCGTTCTATTAGGATTTTTGAATGTCGGTGACATTTCGAATGCTGTACAGCAATCATGGTCACGGGAGAGACTAAGGTTTTAGACGTCTCAAGGGCCATTATATAGTTGTTACAGACAGTGCCTATCCACAAAACATGGAGCACAGAAGTAAGGATCATCCACTTTTATGGGAGACAAGTTGAAAAAGTGTCCAGGTGTATGCTGAAAATAGATGGCGCTGGCGTACAAAAAACTACGATATGAATTAGCTGTTGTAGACGAAAGCCCTTTATTGGACGAGTTTTGTCTGACAATTTTTCATACACAGTAACTCCTTACTTCTACGCTCCATGCTAGAACACAATACAATGATTTGGAAAACAAAAGAGTGTTAATTTGAAACATTTTTAATTTCAATAAGCGGTTTTTTTTATTATTATTAACTATGCAATTTGAAAAACATTAATTTGTTATTATAAATATCTTTATAATAATAAAAATCAAATAAAAATAATAATTTTATATAGGGTATGCGAATTTTTGGTATAATTTTTTTTCACTTTCGCCAGCAATGAAACTTATATTATAACCAGAAAAGTAAGAAGTCTATTTAAGTAGAGATAGAGATGATAGAGATATTGTGTTTGCTATTCCTTTTTAAAAGGCGTTATTTTTTAATAAATACTTTAATATATTACCTTCAAAGTAGCATTTTTGGTTGTGAACCTATACTGGTGTGTGTGGTCGAGGCTGTACCATTTATGATGCTCCACAATCCAATTGGGAAAGTGACATCTGTTGTGTTCGTCGTCACCTGTGATCATAGAAAAAAAATGAATGGTTGGAAAAACATGAAAACTCTCTGATAGTATATAATAAATACTATTCCATACAATGAAAAATGGGAGACCGTTGAAAGCGCAATCGCACTACTAACGATCGAATGAATGAACGAGCGAATGGAAATAAAAATAATAATCTAAAAATAAAATAATATGAATCACTTGTAATAAGTTGCATAGTACATCTCTGTTAATTGAATTGTATTAAGCCTATTGGAAGGAGAGCGTATTGGCCATTTACTGACTGTTCAAAATACAAACAGAAAAAACACACGACAGCCCCATACAAATGGAATGAACGAATGAATGAAGAAACTTATCTTAATCAATTAGTCAGAGAAGACTATTGAATGACCAAATAGACGTATGAATGAATGTATTCCAATTCTTATCAATTGAAGAGTGAAGACCATTGACAAATTTAACAGGATTATACTAGAACTATCTTTACGGTTTTATTCAGATTTATTTTTATTTTCTTTTTTACTCATTTTGATTTATTACGGGAACCACAAGTCCGCGGGAAAAAACCGCAAAGATGGGTTTTATTTAAAACGTCAAATACTCGAAGTAAATCCAAGAAAGTACTATAGGATTACACAAATAAATGCAAATGAATGAGTGAATGAATGTAAACTCACTTGTCGTAAGTTTCATAGTGCGACTCCCGTCGGTGGGCGACGAGAGGCCGTTGCACGTCGCGTCACCGGACTGCGCTATTATGTATGACGTACTCTTATCGCCGTGTTGGCCTTTGTATATGAAGCATCTGAAATTTAAAACAAAACTAATTATTACAATATATATTCAGCTCTTTTTTTAATGTCCCAGTGCTGGGGGTGGTCCTCCCTTCAATACGAGAGTGATCAGGCCATAGTCCACCACGCTGGCCGAGTGCGGGCGGACTGAGCATGTCTTTGAAAACCTGGCTAGGTTCTCTCAGACATGAAAGTTTCGTTACGATATTTTTCTTTTACCGTAAGACAAGTGGTAATCATGTTGGAAATGATTCGCACATGAAAATATCAGAGGTGCGAGACCCGGGTTTGAACCCGCTTCACTCGGTTTTCCAAGCGAGCGCGTTACCACAGGGTCCGTTAGTACACTGTTCCGGGTCAGGGTCCGTTAGTACCACAGGGTGCGTTACCACTGTCTTTATTATCATTATCATTACTAAATACATGCCATGTGTGTATGTCACTGAACTCCTAAACAGCTGGACCGATTTCGATATATTTTTTTGTGTGCGAAAGTTTATATATTCTGTGTGTGTCTGTTTGTCACTCCTTCACGCTGAAACGGCTGGACGGATTTGGATAAAATTCAGTACATGGATAGACTGTGACCTGGAGTAACACGTATGCTACTATCAGACAGCTAAAGAAGCTATAAAAAACATTACCTATATGTATCTTCATCTGAGGCGATAGAATTCCTCCTTTGCACTTGAGATATCTGACCGACGAGGTATCTAGTGGAGCCCTCCTTCCACGTGGCAAGACAAACGAGTTCTTCCACTGAAAAAAAAACAAAATTGGCTAAGTGCGAGTCGGATTCACATGGTAAAGGGTTCCGCACATCATAGGAATTTAAACATTTTGTTATTTTTCTTTAAAAAAATGTAATTTAGGAAAGAAGATGGATGGATATATACGTATGCTTTATTTCTAAATATTCAATAAACATGATTCTTTAAATTGACATAACGATTTAAATAACACAAATACTAAATGTTAAGTGAAGCTTATCACTATTGCCCCCAGCGGGAGTCGAACCCGCGACCACTGCAAGTAGAATCACTATAAACCGAGCCAAACGTGTCAATTACTTATTATTCTTTTTATCTGTTATTGCTATTATGTACCGAAATTTCAATGAATCAATTTTATAGTTTGTTTAACTATAACAAAATAAGATCAGTTTTAATTATATTACATTACCACTCACGTCAATAACTCACCCACCCACCCTCAATTCCCTTTAAAAAAAATCATCCCACCTTTAGAAGTGAATTATTTTCTTCAAAATTTATATGAGACAACCACAAAAAAGTCACACACACCCACAACTCATACCCCTCCCATTTCAAAGTCGGTCAAAAGCATAATATTTCTGAGGAAAATTAAAAAAAATACACCAAAACATACCATTACTCTCGGTCCCGGGGACGTCCGGACACGCCATGTACCTAAGCAAGAGCCTCGAGTCGTCCGTACACGACTCCGCGCGAGACGGCGGATACGCACAATCGCCGGAACCTCTGGAAAAAGTTAATAAAATAAATAAATACTAATAAAAACTACTTGTATATACAACAAAAATATGTCACAATCAAAATCCTATATCTTTAAACCAACAATATATATATATATATATATAATCTGAATCTCGGAAACGGCTCTAACGATTTTCATGAAATTTAGTATACAGGGCGTTTCAGGGGCGATAATTCGATCTAGATTAGTCTTATATCTGAGAAAACGCGTGTTTTCTAGTTTTCATGCAATTTTCTTTTGCATTATTCCACGCAAAATATGGTCGGTAATTTGCACAAAGTTTTTACTTTTGTTTTTTTTAATATTTATTCAAGTTTTGTGTTTAAAAAAAAAAGAAAGAAAATTGTACTGTAGGCCAAAAACTCCGAGCGAAGCTCGGTAGCCCAGGTACTATACTTTATTCAAATAGACTAATTACACGACTTTTGAATCGTCACTTTTTATATTTTTAAAATTTAAATTAAATATCAGTATGTAAGTCCGTGAGGAATCTACCACCGGCTCAGGAGGCAGTTCTGCTGAGAACAGCTCAAGAGAAATTCAACAGTTGCTCTTTTAAAATACTATTCGCTTACAAAATAGATTTTATGAGGGACAGTACACGAAAGAGAAAAGGGTGAATGATGAGATGACGAGTAATAGGGGAGAGTGGAAGAGGATGACTTACAAGTAACTTGGAAAATGGGCAGGGGATGACGATATAAAACAAAAACTCAAGAAAAAACATACAAAATTTCTAAAAATCATTGTTTTCGGTTCTATAGCGTTAATAAAGACCCCCAATAATAGTTTGTCTCAAATATCTTCCATGTACAGACAGCGATCAGTTACACTTTTATTATATGTACCTATATAGATTGTCTAACATAAACCAGGTTAGATCCAAACACATTCTCACCGCGACATGCATATTAATTTAAAAATAACAATTAAAACACTCTTCATTTCCAGTTAAATTTGTATCATGTTTATATAACATACATTCGACTTACGAATGGTAAAAAAATAACTCTCATTTTTATACATTTTCAAGGGTTTCGTGAGTTTCATTTATACGGAATAATATTTTTTTCACAAATATATTAAAAAAAACAGTCACAAATAAAAAAAATATGAAAAAATTTTTCATTTCAAATGCTGTTCATTAGCTTTATTCTAGCTTATATATTCTATATACAAAACATAAAATATATTATGACAAACTTTACCCGCGGCTTTGCTGCATATTTCGCTAAGCATATGCTGATAGGCAGGAATGATATTATAAAAATATCTAGTTACAATACCATTTCAGACTTCAATCACATCTTGTACACGCTCCACCATCTTATTATTAGAGTTCCGTACCCGACGGGTGCCAACGGAACCCTATTATTAAGCCTCCGCTGTGCGTCCGTCCGTCTGTCAGAGGGCTGTATCTCATGAACCGTAATAGGTAGAGAATTCATTTTTTTACAGAATATGTATTTCTATTGCCGATAGCGGCTACAAATACGAAAAAACGAAGATGGTGAGTTTCAAAACGGCTGCCTTGCATTTAAAAAAAATAACACATTGTGGTAAGGAACCTTTCGTGTGCGAGTCCGATATTCGCACTTGATTTAATCTTAAATTCAAACGAAAAAACTTAATAAAAAACTATAAGATAACACACCTGCTATACGTAAAAGTGAACGGGGCTGGATGGAAAGGACACGACTCGGGCTCAGGCCTCGGTTCCTTTCTGAACATCGAGTATAGCGGTGCATCCCCACTTATCTCCTCGCAAATGGACGATAGTGAGTCCTTCTGACTGCAAAACGCTGAAAATGAAATATATAATTCTATTAGATAAAGACATAGGCTAGACAATAAAACTTGAAAGGGGTGAAATAAGGGTTGAAATTTTGTATGGGCAACAAACTACCTTAAGTACACTCACGATAACAATTTTTTTGATCTAATTATAACGTAACTAGGGACGCCACCGAGCGAATCGAGGGTAATTCGCTAGTTGCTATTATAAATTCGAAAGTCTGTCTGTGAATTAACATTGATATATATATATATATACTAGCGGACCCGACAGACGTTGTCCTGTCTACATGTCTTTAATTTGAAAATTTCAAACTTTTTTTAATAATTTTTTTGATGAAAATTATTATTCAAATTGTGAATCTAAGCCATTCCCAGATCCCCTTGAACACACACAAAAAATTTCATCAAAATCGGTCCAGTCGTTTGAGAGAAGTTCAGTGACATACACACTCACAGAAGAATTATATATATAAAGATATACTTTTACAAATCCATACAGCCATTTCAACAAACATACACACGTACAAACTTTCGCATTTAAAATATTACTCCAATCGAGCAATATAGTAGTTTTAGCGGAGGTAGATCGAAAATATTAAAATTATATAATATTTAACTTACTCTCTTTATATTGCAGTACGTATTTGTGCTTTTCGTGTATCACCATACATCTGTAGCATTCGTAGGTCCTGAAATTTTTAAATAAAATTTTCATACATTATTACATCGACAAAAAAATCTTCTATATACACAATCAGCGCCAAAAAATGTCCTCATCGAATGAGCGCTCATTTGAATAATTGGGCGCGCTTTTAATATTTTTTTGTGAAAACAACTTTAAGCATTGCATTTGAGGTTCAATTTACATTGTTGTATATTAATTTCAACTAGAATAATTACCTAAACAAAATCGGTGACAGTTTTAAGACAACTTTTGCATTGAATTGTGTATCTACTACTTACTTTTTTAATCGATGCATTTTTATAACAATTTTAACAAAAAGAGGGTATTCTAAGTATTAAGTAAGAAGCAAGTTTAAATTTTCAACGTTTAAATAAGACAGTGAAAAGTAAAAAAAAAAATTGCTTGGATTTTTTTAAATAAAATAAAATTTCATTAAACATCCAAACATAACATAATATGTTTTTTTTTAATTTTTTTTTTAAGTATACGCGTATTTTTTTGATAGCTTTATGTACACTTTTCATTGATAATTGATATACATAAGGAATAAGACATTATCATTATGCAAAATTTTAAAATTTTAGTGTAATAAATAGATAAATAGTAATCGAAAAGCCTATCACTACAAACGGAGTCGCGGGTTTGAATCCGTTTAGAGCAAAATGTAATAATGATTAAGCCTGCTCACATCCAAAAAAAAAACATATTTTACCCCAAAAAATGTCTACAAACCTGTCGTAAAGCAGAAACTTATCGTACGACTCCGTTTCTGAGCACTCCCCCTTGGACTGTATATGGGTTGAGTTGATGGCGATGAGCCCTATGTAGCCGGATTGGAACCAACTACCCGTCCACTCCGCTGGAAACGTGCATCCTCCACCTGTAATATAAAAAAAAAACTATTGAATTATCAAAATTCACTTACATATTATTGATACAATCATCGTAAAATCATTCATTCTTTGATATAGAACCTTATTCTTGATGTTTTACACGAAAAAATGCGAAAAGATAGTTTTATTTAAAATGTCAAATATTCGCGTAAATCTAAGAGTTATATACATATAAATTATAAGGGTTATTCACAGCATCGCCTGCATGGTTTATTTATATATAACTAGCAGTACCCGCGGCTTTGCCCGCGTTCAAATTTACGATCGCTACCAAACTCCACAGGATCATCATTTCATCAAAATCGCCCCAGCCGTTTTAGAGTCCATAGGGACATAAACACTGATTATTATATATATATATATATATATATATATATATATATATATATATATATATATGTGGTGAGATAGCTAGCGTGATCCAAGATTAGCCCTACACTTTAATAAGTAGAATATTTAAAGCAAAAAAATCTAATATGACTGGTAGCTCGAGATTAATGTGTTTAAACAAACACACCAACCCTTCAATTTAATATAAATAAATAAAAATAAATATGTTAGGACATTAACACACAGCGCCATCTAGTTCCATTTTTAGCTACGAGGCCTGTGTTGTGGATACCAGAAAGTTGATACATTACACATATATAACTTTAAATACATACATACATATTATAAATATAAACACCCATGACTGGAGTACAAATATTCTGTCTAATCACACAAATGATTGCCCACAGCGAGACTCGAACCCGCGACCGCTGGCACAGCAAGTAGGGTCACTACAAACTGAGCCAAACGTGTTGTCAACATACATATTAGTATATATTAGTATATTAAATGTAGACTGGAAAAACATTAGGCGTGCCACAAGGCCTAGTACTGAGCCCAGTTTTTTTTAATTAATCACATGAGATCCAATAGAAAAACTCTGTAATACGACATTCAGAAGTTGAAATAAGGGAAATGCACATACGAATGGGTACGAATGAGAGCCGCCTATTGTGTACGTCGACAAAGCCAAGTCTAATAGAGCGGCTAGGTCATAAAAGCGGTTTGTTCAAACTTATTTATTTCAGCGCGAGTGACGAAAAAAATATCCGCGGTCACAAGTTATAGGCGACTAGCGAAAGGTACGTTTTAACGGTTAGTATGACATACTAATCTTTGAATTTCTCAGCTTTTTCTGTACTATAATATGCATATATTATACATATAAACCTTCCTCTTGAATCACTGTATCGATTAAAAAAAACCGCATCAAAATCCATTGCGTAGTTTTAAAGATCTAAGCGTACATAGGGACAGCCAGATAGCGGGAAGCGACTTTGTTTCATACTATGTAGTTATACGAGTTTTTTTGCAAGCGAAATATAAAAGAGCATATATATAGCATTTAATTAATTTCAAATTGAGTAAAAATTAAAGCCGCTTTTTATACTTTGTGCTTCTCAATAACAGCCGAGATGGTGACTCCTTCTTTATTTTAGTCGATTTACCATAATACCTCGGAAAGTACGCCATAAGACTTGAAATTTCAATCAAAACAATTCCACTATAATATCTCCTGCGTAGTCGATTAATCTCAGAAAGGTTGTTCACAGCCAAAATCGATCAGGAAAACATTATAACGTCATCTAGTTCCTACGCGCTTGTAACAGACTAATATCAGAATATATACATATGTATGTATGTACGTACGCACATAGGTTGAAAAGATTTGAATACACAAATTTCAGACAAAGCCGAGAGGCAAAACTAGTAACACTATATATAATCTAGCAATCGCATTCATTTGGCACGTTGATCAGTAAAACTAATCGTGTTAACGTGTCGGAGTTAATTCAACGTGTTACGGCATCACTTAGCGCTGATTTATTTGAATAATTGACTGTAATATAGGACTAGATTTCATGTGAATTTGCGTATGGAAGTACATTTAAATTAAAAATAAAATTTGAAATAAATAGCCCCTGATTTATCTTTACGTGGATTGAGGCCATGTAAATAACTTCAAAGAGGTGAGAGTAGATGTTTTGTGTGTATTTTAGGCGATATTTTTATCGTCGATATATTTTTATAATATTCTTTTAATGAATCGATTATACTTTAAGGATATATAACAATCGTATAAAATATATGTTATTTTAAAAGTCCGCGTTTTGGTAAATGTTAGGATTGGCCAACATGAGTCGTTAAAAGAAAGATTTTATAAAATGTTGACGATGTTTCGGGCTTTTACCATCAGAGTGTGGTACATTTTAGCTTTACCAACGATGCTTGGTAAAGCATTTCTGATATTGGGGGTTCTGGGTTTGAAAAAAAAAGACCTAACGCGAAGGCTGAGCCTTCTCAACTTACGATATCCAAGTCGAGCCTGGCACATAATCAAAGACATTAAAAGAGTCTTAAGTATGGCTTTTAAGCCATAGCCATCTCGTTAGGTCTTTTTTTATTTCAAACCAACAAACCCCAACATCATAAGTACTATAACCAACATTTACCAAGTATCGTTGGTAAAACCTAGCACTCTGACGATAAGAACACGAAAAGTCGTCTATTTCTTATAAAATCCTTACATTTACCAATTTTTTCACTAAATAATTCCCATTTCACTCATAGTGTAAACATTAAAACTCCTAACAAATACCTTTATTGTACATTCAAAAATTACTCGTAAATCAGAATATACAAAACAATGATGTAACGTGCCTATACCGAAAATAGTTTAAATTTCTAGTTCTATTGAAAAATCTGATTTGTATCAAAGCTAAATATATTTAGTATAATATATTTTAACAAGTGCCGAAGTAATGTGAATATTTTATGAGACGAGCATTATTGAGCTATTCACGTACGCCATCAAACCGCACAGATCAAATATTAATGTAGCCTAATCTCTAATATAATCATGGATAGATTGGAATTTTATCAGATACTAACATCTTCTCGCGGCTTCACTCGCTTGTAGTCTTGTATTACTATATTTGTTAAAAAAACACGTACAGTGTGTTTATAATACATTTACATGAATTCGTCATCCCATGGGAATATATTATTGGGATAAAATGTTTTCTTCTTAACCAAGATCTAACTATGTGTCAAACTCCATCGAAATCAGTTCAACCGTTTACGCATTATTGAGTTACAAAGATATTTTCTCGCAGTAAAAAGTATCCTATATACCCAGCTATCATCATACCAAATTTCATCCAAATCTGTTCAGTGATATTCTCGTGATGCGTTTCCAGACAGACATACCAAAATTATATTAAATTTCATCAAAATCCCTTCAGTGTTTTTTCTGTGATGCGGTAACAGACAGACAGACAAAAAATATAAAAACCGTAGATTCGGCCTCTGTATCGATAATAATGACTATTTCAATAAGATTTTCCAAAAAAAATTAATGTACAGATTCGACTCAGAATTTTATTATACGTGTAAAATATCGTGTATCTCGATAACGGCTATAACGATTTGGATCAAATTTTGCATTTAGATAAGGTTTTACTTAATCTATATAAGTGTATTTTCAGGAAAAAAACCCGATATTACAAAAAAAACGAAGCTTGGTCGCCTAAGTACTATTTAACCTGCTAATTAAAACTCACACTTCACTTTGCAGTTATCCGCTTCCGCCTATAACTCACACCGCATCCTTACACTCTATTGTCGCACGTCTTTGTTTTTAAATCACCAGGTGTGCATTGGGAGTTCCGTGAACTGTGTACTAATTTAGGGTTCCTAGGGTACCTACTGGCGGTTTGTACACTTTTGTGTTTGAGTATCGTTTTAACCGCGTTTGAGGAGAAGGGGTTGTTTAGATCTTGAGTATTTTTGTAGGGATTTTATATTTGTTTGTGTTATATTTCTGGTTGAGTAATAAAAGTAGACATATTGACAATAGAAAATTCATATCCTGGCGATAAAAGCGGGAATCGAACCAAGTCATCATATCATCACATGTGTTCTTTTACTCCTTCACGCTTAAAGTATTTCACAAGACAAGTCAATCGAGAGCGATCAAGAATATAAGATTATATTTTGAAGAGTGGAATCAAATTATCATGGGTTAAGTACTTTTAAAGTTATATCATATTATACTTTTTTTAATTAAAATAAGTGCTTATAACATCCTTATTATAAGAATTAGTATAAAACGGGACTGCGCAAAAAGCAAACGAAAAATGGACTATTATGGAGTTGAAGACGTATATGACGAATCCTAACGACACCCATTTTTCATCAAAATCGTTTAAGCCGTTTTGTAGTTACGACAAAACATAAGATCCGACATACATACATACGTAGTACGTACATATACATACATGTCAAACACATAACCCTTCTTATTCTTTAGTCAAATAGCACTTGACAAAATATCATTTGTTTCATGCCATTTTTTACCTCCGACGCAAAAAGAGGGGTGTTATAAGTTTGACGTGGATGTTTGTGTGTCTGCTGTGGCGACGTAGCTCTCAAACGGATGGACCGATTCCGATGCGGTTTTTTTCATTTGAAAGTTAGTTTTCTTGCGGTGGTTCTTAACTATGTTTGGTTAATATCAGTCCAGCAGTGTAAGAGTATCAGCTCTTTTCCAAAATGATGTATGGCATTTTGACATATGATTACTCGATTAAGTGCTAGTTAAATGACAATTAATTTTGCGTAGGGGTTCTATTGAATTTTTAACTGTTAATTTTTAAAACCATTAACCAACTATAGTTAAAATCAATCCAACGTTTTGAAAGAAAAACAAAATGAAAACCGTATATATGTAAATATATAAATGGATTTCATATGTAAAGAATATTCTTTTCATTTAGCGGAACATAATGAATGGCATATTGTTACATTGTTGGGTGTTTTTTTCATTAACTTTTTAATAAATCACCAATCTATGACTTTTCAGTTACGTGCATTTTTTTTTCAATATTTTAATCAATTGTAATTGAACATCGTATTAATGTTAGTTATACGTAATATGTAACAAAATTTATATGTAATTTTTTTTCTATATTGTCAGTTAAAAGATTTATATTTTTTTCTATACATATAATAAAATTGTGCCTAAGCCGAATCTGTACATTAAATATTTTTTGGAAAATTTTATTGAAATAAACATTTTTATCGATACAGAGGCCGAATCTATAGTTTTTAGAATTTTTGTCTGTCTGTCTGTCTGTCTGTCTGTCTGTCTGTTACTGCATCACGGAAAAACCATTGGATAGGATTTCGATGAAATTTGGTATGATGGTATATGAATACTTTTTACTATGGGACAATATCTCATATCTAAGAAATCTATATAAACGTTAAAACGTAAGCAGGGACGAACCAGAGCGGAGCGAGGGTAAGTCGCTAGTAGATCATATTTTTTGTTGTTGGGACATTAACACACAGCACCATCTAGTTCCATGGTAAGCTACGATGCTTGTGTTATGGATACCAGATAGTTGATACATTATACATATATAACTTTAAATACATACATACATAATGTTATAAATATAAACACCCATGACAGAAGTAAAGAGGACAAATACTCGTGCTCATCACACAAATGAATGCCTCCAGCGGGACTCGAGCCTACGACCGCTGGCACAGCAAGTAGGATCACTACAAACAGGGCCAAAAGTCGTCATAAATCAATCAACAAATATATATTCGACTGTGTTTGCGGCACGGCCTTGAACCCAGGACCTCCGGATCCGCCGAACATACTAACCACTAGACCACCGAGACAAATCTAGACCATAATAAGAACATTATAAAAAACGATAACTCACGAACCAAAGGGGTGCAATTATTAAAATAATTAAATCGTACGTCTGTCTCGCACAGATTTGAGTTATAACATCATTGAATAAATTAATTTTATAACGTTTCCGACCACTTGAGTGTTTAATTGACGAAATATTAATTAGCGATTATGAAGTAGGGGTTAAGTTAAAATGTTGCCATTTTTTTACCGACTTCAAAAAGGAAGATGTACTCAATTCGATAGTTTTTTTTTTGTTTTCCACACAGATAATTAAATGAAGAGAAATTATGTATATGTATACGGTACTTATAAGATAAACCCTTTTTTTTTAAATGTTTGTCTGTCTGTCTGTTTGTACATGTTATACTCCGAAAAGGTTGGACTGATTTTGTCAGGACTTTCACTGGCAGATAGCTGATGTTATAAGGAGTAACTTAGGCTACTTTTATTTCAGTAAAATAATTAGAGTTCCGCTCAAAAAAAAGTTAAACATAACTAAGGACGCACTCGAGCGAAGCGATGGTAAGTCGCTAGTTGATAATAATATCGATATATTCATCAATTGTGAATCGATTTTGGAGGTTTTGATAGGGTGGACCACGGCTGGAGGCGTTTGACGTGAAAAAAAGGACGTAAATTAAAAAAAAAATGCTGCACACATTGCAGCCCAAATGGTCCCGTACAGTTCGGTTTCAGAGGAACCTTTTCGGTTGCCGAGGTTTTCCCAGAGGGCTACAGTATGGGGTCCTTCAAAAGG